ATTTCACGCTCTCCCACAAAACGATTCCGAACTGCAAATTAATTTTTGATCTACAGAAAAAAGTTTGGCGCGACCACAATTTCAGGTCTAAAAACATAATTTCAGAATTTTTTATCTGATTTTGCGGAGATTGAAGATGATTCAAATGATTCTTCAAAAATTAATTAGTGGTTATAGAATCCTGTATGGTCTTTTCCCGGAAGAAAATATTCCAAAAATGGTCATTTTTGAAAGTTTTTTACAGAAAAAATGTATCTCCTCTTTCAGTTTTTGACATTTCTAGGAGTTCTATAGCTCAAAAGAACCGCAATAATTTACTCTTTATTTTGTATGAATGAATTTTTGATTCGTCTGATAAACAATTTTTTATAATCAAAAAACAACGCAAAAATGCGATTTTGTGCCATTTCGTGAGGTTTTTTGATTATAAGAAAAGTTTCATCAGACGAATCAAAAATTCATCCATACAAAATAAAGAGTAAATTATTGCGGTTCTTTTGAGCTATAGAACTCTTAGAAATGCCAAAAACTGAAAGAGGAGATACATTTTTTCTGTAAAAAACTTTCAAAAATGGTCATTTTTGAAATTTTTTCTTCTGGAAAAGGACCATACAGGATTCTATAACCACTAATTGATTTTTTAAGAATCATTTGAATCATCTTCAATCTCCACAAAATCAGATAAAAAATTCTGAAATTATGTTTTTAGACCTGAAATTGTGGTCGCGCCGAATTTTTTTTTCTGTAGATCAAAAATTAATTTGCAGTTCGGAATTGTACTGTGGGAGACCGTGTTAGGATAATACTTGTCAAAGTGAAGAAAGTAGCACTTTTTGGATAACCCAAAATTTTCTTTCCGTGATTTTTTTCGTTCCATGATTTATTTTTCGTTGCATGGTTTTTTTTTCGTTCCGTGATTCTAGAACATTGCCGAAAAATATCTGTTTTTGGCCTTTAGTACTGAAAGCAGTTTCAGAGGCCATATTTCGGCTCCTTTAGAGAACGGGCTAAAAGTGTTTTTGGATTCGGATTCAGCATGTTCGAAAGTACCTTTCTACTACTTTTGAGCAAATTCTCAAACGGTGTCTGAAAAACGTTCCCTTGTATTTATGTCTGTTCAAAGAGGGTTACGAGCTACAGACAACGCGTGCAACTCGAGAATAAACTCTTTATCTTTTGAATCGGAACAAAGTCGATTATATTTTTCATAGATCGGAATCATGTTCATCCATAACGCTATTGCCAAACTACCTGGAGTCAAAACTATTCAAGTAAACGAATCACAAGCTGTTGTCAGGTACATACTATTCTTATTTTTGAAACCCATATTTCTTACAGACACTTACGTAGCACTAAACACCGAGTTGATAACAACGATTGGCATTTGGTCCCTCAAGTCGATGGGACATTACGAAAAATCATGAAACGACCACTGGAATCAGAATTTGCTGAAAAGATGACAAACGCAATCGTGCAACGAGTCCTGAATGTTTACGATCGAGTTCCGGTGAAATGTGACAGGATAGCAAGATATCTCTGGGAATCTCGTAGATTTCTAGACCCATGTGAATCTATGTCATCTGTATTTTAATTTGTTCAATAGTTTGTTCTGTCATATCCTGACATATTTCATGTACCAAAACATCATTTATTTTTTACGAATGAAAAATTGTACAAATTAATTTGTTGTAAGTTGCATTAAGTGTTCGGAACACTGATGACATTATTTTTCCTAAATATTCTTCGGTACTCTGATACGATCATCATAAAAACCAGATTATTAATCGAGGGATATGAACTAAACGAATCCAAAATTCCAGACGTTTTGATACATCCAGCAAAGGTGCTAAAGTTATTGGTGTAGATTGGAGCACAAATGAAGTACATATGTCAGTTTGGGCTTTCAGTATTGTATATCAAATATTATATGCCGTATGAAATAGAAAAATATTGCCAACGACAACTGAGTTCCATTTTTTTTTGAAAGTTTCATATCAAAAGACGACTACAAAGTCACTCAAAATCGGCATCATTATTTTTAACCGACTACAACTTTCGGGAATTTTCATTTTTAATTTCTGAGTAAAGCGAGGAACTGGTGAGAAGAAGGATATAATAAATGAATTACACTGAATATCATCTCATTTTTGATTGGCGACTTAACAATTCATTCAAATTCAAACGGAATAAATTCCATCAAATAATTTTTTCATCGACAATTTGCCAACACAGATTGCCACCGAAATTCGCCAAAGGCATCCTGGAAACCGCTCAAAAGACAACAGCCGCAGTCGAGTTAGTAGAAATTCGTCTACTTTGAGTGTCTTAAAAATACGTTGTACTCATTAATCTGGTCTGAAACTTTCTGAAATTATAAACCAAATTTGAACAACATCTCCCTTTTTTGACGAATTTCTCATTTGTGATTGCTTTCTGGAGTTTGGCAAACCTTGACCCACTGACTTTTTTCTGTTTTCTTCAACCTACATCCTTCTTGTTTTCTGACACAAGACATTGGATCCCATCAAAGACTAGCTTGCGGGTGAGTAAAGACTAACTCAAGCCCCAATGAGATTTTTTCTTCGAATCACTGAAATGGCGTGGCATGTGCTGGATCTTACAAGGGAAGTATTTTCAGACACCGGTTGAAAATTTGCTCAAACTTTTGTCATTGGTACTTTTGGGCACGCTCATCACAGAACTGAAGTCAGTTTTTCAAAATCGGCCCTGTAAAAAAGTTATGGGCTGTTTAAGTGGTTTCAGTGCTAATTTCTCACTTTTGGAGTAAATTTTTGAAAGGGTTAATAACAGTTCTTCGGAGTTTTTTTGTATGTAAATCGTACTTTTAAATGCCACTCTACAATCTGAGAAAGTTTCCTAATTTTTCAAAAAAATGTCGCATGGGGACCCCCTTTGGCAATTTTTACAATTTTTCGAAAATTTTCAAAATGTGCTAAAATGAGTTCTAAACGTAGATAAACGATGAAATGAGTACTTTCACAAGATGCGGTAGCCTGAATACCTCTCGAATTCACAAATAAGGGATTTCTTTAGAAACTTCAATGGATCGTAGACTTCGAAAATTGACGAGAAGAAATCAAATAATGAATTGAATAGTTCCTGATTTATATTGCTTTTTCCAAGACAGAAATGAGACAATCTAGGGAAATCGGACTAACAATTCGACTAGCAAAGACTTGAAAGTGGGGCTTCCAGAAGTTTTCCAGAACATCTACCAGTATTTTTCGAATTTTATCAAAAGTAATGATATTTTCTAAATAAATGACAATCTGGATTAAAAAATTTCGAAAAAAAATTTATGCAACTTTTTGAGACTTCAAGAGGTTCAGAAAAAAAACAAAAAAGATTCTGGAGAGGGTATCGAACCTGACCCTTGTCAGACACGTCCGTCCCTCCTCACCACTACACTACTGCTGGCTGCTCTCTCCTCTGTACTGAATGAATATAAGAAAGGGGGAAAGGCGCGGCGCTCAAAGGCGCTTGTTAAAGTGCCAGGACAAGAGTCTACTGGCTGACAAAGAAGCAAGAAGTCAGTTCTGTGTTCGGTAGGAGATAAGGATCTCCAGGGACCAGTAAAAAGGAGCGAATCCTTTTGCCCTAGTGCCCGGCTGTCCGGTTTTGGGTTTTTAAATGAAAGGTTAGCCGCCACCAAAACCGAACCCGCGGCCTTCCGCACAATAGCCGCGCACGCACACAGCTGCGCCCACAGGTCCTGGGCGCGCATACGCATAATGGATGGGCGACGGAGGACGCGCCGATGAATTGGGTACAGGGAAAGGACGCCGGTATGGGGCATATACGGGGCATATGGTGCACACCGCCGCCGCAAAGCATCTCCTCGCCTGGCTTGCAGGCACTCGATGAAATGAACTAAAACGTTGGTTGGGGTTCCTAGAAGTATCAGTTAAGTTCTATTGTGATGTGATTTTGTTCAGGTCTTCCGATTTCGTACTTTTCCTTTATTATTCCATTTTTTTTATATTTTGAACGACTATTACTGATTTTTCGAAACTCAATGTTTTGGTTTTGAAAAAGACTTATGGCAGTTTCCATTTAAGTTTGATATGCAATCAAAAACAGAAGAAAATGGGAAAAAAATTCGCTAAAAATTGTTTTTTTTTCATTTGTTCAAAAAATATGTCTCACTTTCACTATTTTTGAAATTGCATGAAAAATTGAAAATTTTTATAATTTACACTTTGTAATTATTGTATACTTACCAACTTACCTTTTACTCCACCTGAAAATACTTTACAATAATTAAAAAGTGAAATAAAAAAATCTCAATATCACCTATTTTGGCGAAAAACATAGCAATCAACGAGTGAAAGACATGTTTCTGCAAGAATTCAGCGATTTTTTATTCTGCCATAACTCTTTTTCACAAAAAACATCGAAGGAATAATCGAAAAACCAGAAATGTAGGCTCGAATTGACGAAAAATTGACAAAGTTGCCGGTGTGGATTTACGGTAAACAATAGGCGCATCCGGGATTTCGGAGTGTTGTAGTCGGCCCCATATCGCACACGTCGCCCACCCACCCAGAATCCATCTAGGATACGCGCGCATTCGGAACACTCGATTCAGCCGCTCCCACATCGCACACATATGAGACTCATCGCAGCTCGTTGTTCGCGATATGTGTCAAACGGACTTCTAGAGGATCGCATATGAATCGGGTCCTTTATGCGCATCATCGCCCAGGACCTGTGCCATGAGAGCCACAGAGAAAGAGGGGAGGGAGGGCGTAGAGGTTCTACTCGACTGGAGAGTTTGGTGTGGTCGTCGCTGCACGCTAATGCAAAGCATAGTGGTTGACGCGAGCCCGCTTTTTGTCGGCTGCAGCATTATACCGCGCCTTCGCCGATTCGGTTGTCGTTCTATACTAGAGGCGCCTAAAAAGACAGCTAATCGAGTGAATTCATATCACAGTGAATGGTTGCGGCATAATCTCCGGAGGATAGGAAGGGGTAGAAAAAGCCGATATCGTGCGTTGCGGGTTCGAGTTCGATAGCCAGCATTTTTTGTGGATTTTCAACAAGGTTCAGAAATGTGTGAGAATGTAAGCGAACGATTTTCTCTTCTTGAATGAAATGGTAAAACAAAAGTATCCCGTTTCTCAAATTTGATTAGTTTCAAGTCGATTTAATATTTGATTGATTTTCGAAACTTTCACTTTGTTTTTGTCTCAAGTCACTAGATAACCTTGGAAGAAAATATGGTGAAAAATCAATCGCCGAAAAATTACTCTTTACCAGATTATCAATCTGATGATTCTTAGAGTCAGCCACGGATGTTCGGAACGGAGTTCGGAATTATGACCATTCTCGGAATAGAATTTCTACCGGAAAAATTCCGAAAATTTTTTTTGGAATGTCTCTTTTTTTCGGATTCCCATCTCGATCGGAATTTTTCCAAAGCTTTTTTTTCGGAATTAGAGATTTTTGAACTACGGTATGTCAAAGACCCACGCCAAACAATTGCTTGCAGGTCAAGAGCGAACTTACGTTTGATATTTTTTTGCGCTGTCGAAATCTTTCTGTCAATTTTCACCAGTTTTTGGCGTTTTTGTGCGTTAAGAATTGAATTTCTACTTTAAAACTTGAATTTTTTAAAAACTCCGAATATTCCGAAATTTTAACATTTTGAAAATCTTAAAATTTCGCATTTCCGAAACTCCTAAATTTTGGAAATCTAATTTTCGACATTCAGCAAAATTCCGAGCAGGGCATTCCGAACATCCCTGGAGCGGGCTGACCTATTGTGCGGTACGCTAGGTGTTTTTTCTTTTGAAAAATTTTCTTTGATTATTTTAAAATTTTTGTTTTCTTCTCTTCTTTGCCTTTTTACAGTTTCTGTTTCGGTAGGGTCCGAAAAGAATCTTTGCAAAATTTTTCCGCAAAAAATAGTGTTGAAGAATAGAATGCCACCCTCTAATAGAACTTTCTCCCAGCTCTTCATTTAAAATAGAACGCAATGGCATTAAATTAGACTACATAGGTGCAAATCTAAAAAGAGTTAAAAAATGTTTCTAAGATTTACTAATAGAAATTCTTCTGCGCTTATTCTTTTCAAGGTCTCAATTCGAATCTTTGGATATTCAGAAGTTTGAGTATTTGGAATGTCTAAAATAAAGATATCCAGTAATTGTAAAAGTAAGACAATTGGGGATTTAGAGATCAGTTACAAAAAAATCGAAAGTTCCAAAACTCTTCATTGTCAATATTCAGAAGTTTCAAGTCCGGATGTCCACGTTTTCGGAAGGTTAATTCATGATTTTTTTTAATTCGAAAGACTTCGTGTTTTGACTTTCAGAATTTCTAAGTCGAAACTTAAGAAAGTTGGAAATTGAGAAATTGAGACAGTCCTAACTCAACATTGAGAAAGAAAAATGAAAAAATGAGGAGCGGTGCGACGAACAGTACAATGAATAGGTCTCATCGCGCCGAAGGCGCACTATCGAGCTGTTTGAAGCACCGGAGGCGCGGCAAACATGCTGGTGCTCACATAAAAAGTTTTGCGACAAGGAACGAAGGATAACAAACGTTTGATTGAAAATTGATGAAGAAATAGAGGAAGATGAGGATCGATCCTTTATTGTTCTAGATCACACGAGAAGTAGAAATTTTAATTCAAAACTACTTTATTAACATTAAGAAAAATACATACAACATTTAGGTTCCTATCAAAAATAATTGTTCAGTTTTATCATAAACCCAATCATTCACTTTATCCATTTCCGTTTTACATAATCCACTTGTACTTCGGCACACTTTATCCTCCACTTTCCTAAAAAAATAATTCCATAGAATCAACTAATGAGACTCACATGATTTTATTGACACATTCCTGTAAAGCGTCGTAAGATTTCGAAGAAAACTTTGGTATCACACCGTTGAATATCTTATGAGCCTGAAAACAACACGTTCACATCGCTGAACTTGTCTTTAATGATACTGTATCTTCCATATTTTTTATATGAGTAGAATGATTGTCTGGGAAAAAACGGTAAGGTTTTTCCGTAGTTGCAGGTTTCTGATCTTCAGCGTTATATCGGAAATGAAGAAGTGCGCCGTCTGCCTGAAATATTTCCATTAGAAATAAATTCCAATTTTCAAAAACTCTCGTTTTTATTACTCATCGAAGAATCAATAAAACTGTCTGGCCAATGAACTTGTGCTATATGGATAGCAGATGCATTGAAAAGATACTGAGTGAAATCTCTTATTATTTCAAAACCTAATGTTTTCTTTCCTACTTTGGATGGCCAAGTTAAAATCTTAAATTTCGGTGATGCCACTCCAGAGAAATGAGATGTATATATTTTCGGAGTAAACAATACGTAATAATTCCCAAAGGACAGAGCTCCAACTTTTGTACCCGTCATTTCTTTGGTCGCATAATCGAGAAGTCTACCATTCGTTGGAACCATGACCTCATCAAAATCAGCAATAGTTCCAATTGTAGTTTTTATATCAAGAATACAAATATTCATAGCCAGAAAATATGAAAGTATAAAAACGCTATCATCAATTTTTGGATATTTATCAGCGATATCAATTGGTAAACTTGGGAAACTAGGCCAGGATTTTATTTCAATCATTCCCTGAAATAACATGAACGTTTTAAAATTTTTAAAGGTTTTCTACTTACCAGGTCTCTGTAATACTCCAACGTCTTCCAAGTTTCTTTTGTTGCCGAATGAAAGTATACAATAAAACGAGTGGCTCCTTGAGCTCTCCATGCTTCAATATACAGTTCAATATTTTGCCATTGAGAGTAGTAGTACACTGGTTGGAGACATACAGTAATCCCTTCTGTTGATTTTTTATAAACTTTTTGAACATTCAGTTCTACTTTCCTACTGCCAAAATGAATGGTAACCTGGAAATATACGTCTTGAAAACTTGCTATTTCCAAATAAAAATCACTTTTTTTAAATCGTGATTTCCTTTCAAACTGGATGAAAATATATAGGGGTTATAGACGCACGGTACTTTTTTGATAAGAGCCGATGGACAATCATCATCTAGATGTTTTCCATAAATATTTTTTCTGACTGGTGCAGAATTATTTCCATTGAAATGTAGATCGGCTGACAAAAATTGATAATTTTTTAGGCATGGGTTTAGTGTAAAAATGCGAAGACGTGGCGGAGTGAATCGGTAATCAACGTATGCCGATTGATAGAATGTAATGGGAAATGAAGCATTTATCGGTTCACCTATCACACTGAAAAATGAGAAAATGTTTAACATAATTGTTCGGAAAGTTGAATTCTTACATGCCCAACATTTCACTAACAGTTTCCAAATATCGAAAATCAGGTTCATGGGAGCGAAGTATTAAGATTACGCATATTAATGAAATTAATACAAACTTAGATCTTTGAATTTTTTTCATCATCAGATTTAGAAAGTTCATGGAGCCTAAATACATTCGGTAGAGAATTTGAATCTTGACTGATCTCTGTTCCATTTTATAGTGATTCTCAAAACCTGTCTAAAGAATTAGGAAAAAAACATGGTGTTGTCATAGTTTAGGTTTTTGTTTCTCACTTTAATAAAAAGAAGTTAGAATAAGCATTTACGAAGCTACGAATGTCCTCCTAAATAGCATTGATCTACGAAAAACATGTTTAAGTCAGAACTCGACATTAATTTGTGCTTATGCAATCTTTAAAATGTTGCCATATGTGTTTTAGATTTGTATCTTAATTCTTCCCTTTCTCGGAAAATTCATTGTATTCGAAATTTACGTAAGTGAGAATTATAGAATTATTGGATCTCGGGAGAATCTAGATTCGAGTTTTTTTAATAGTGGTCGTTTTCTAATGTTCCCAAATCTGGGATTTCAGGGGCCAAGAAAGCAGTCCAAAGTGACGCCTAGATTCCCAAGGTTTCCAATTGGGCAGAATTTGAACCAGTGCAACAATGTAAATTTTTATTGCATTGAGAAAAACGACATCGAAAAATGATTTTTTTTTGTCGGGTAAGAGCCCTGGCGTTTTTCTCAATGAAGAATTTTTTTCGAATTTTTTCTTTATTTTTATGTGAATCTACCTGCTTTTTTGCACATTTTAATGCAATAAAAATTTACATTGTCGCACTGGTTCAAATTTTGCCCAATTTGAAATCTTGGGAATCTGGGCGTCACTTTGGGCTGCTTTCTGGGCCCAGGAATCCTAGATTTGGGAACTTTGGACGCGCCATAATAAACAAAAAAAGTTCAAGATCAAGAACGAATTGAATACTCAGCAGGTTGTTTGTCCGAAATCAGATTTTCTTCCTATGAAACATTATGAAGATACCGAAGTATTTCCATATATCGATTCCTTTTGTCAATTTTCCTTGTTTTTTTTTCGATTTGTTTACAAAAATATAATACATACATACAATTCGAGTCGGTGAAATTTCCAGTTTGGGTAATCAAAATGTATAAACTTGAAAGTGAAACAAATTATGACCAAAAGCTGACTAACTTAAGTGGATGGTCGGACGTTGGTCCGATGTTGGCCAGAATTTGAAGGCACTGCGTGTGATGCGGCGCGCACATTACTCATTTGGATTTATTTTCAAAACTATTTTTCTCGCCATTTTCGATGTAATGTTTTGTTTCAAAGTTCCATCCTTCTAATTTTTTAAGCATTTTTTTGACAAGTACGTCGGAGACGAAAAAAGATTACGAAACTTCAAATTTTTAGAAATTGAAGTTTTTTTTCACAGAAATTGAAGTTTTCAGAAAACTAAAAATTCAAGTCAATTTTTCAACGCCAAGTACTGGGGAATCGCGCAAATGACAGGTAATTTTTTTTGAAAAAAAAAGATTTTTTGAAAGTGTTGTTTCCAGGAAACAAAAAATTGAACAGAGGGATGCTAGAAAATTCGAAGAAGAACAAAAAAGTTTATCAGGTAAATTCCTATTTTCTTAATAAATATATAAGTTTATTAATATTTCAAATAGAGCCACTCTCACACTCGTCACAATACACAGCGATATCTTCAAAATTTAAACGATCTAGTTCTCGATTTACTTATTTTTCTGTATTTTTTTTTCTTAATTTTATTCATTTGTATGTAGAATTATTTTCTTTAATAAATAAAATACGATATAATGTACTGTTGTTTAAAAAAATGAACCGGCCAAAAGTTGCCGGCAACGTCCGAATAGGATGAAAACTTTTTTTAATCCAACTTCTTCTATACATTCTCTGCTTTTCCCAAAATGTCTATAACATTATAAACAGATTTCATTCGTTTCAGTATTCTTTTCACAAAAGTAATTTTTGATTCTGAATCTGATTTTTTATTACCCAATATGAATGCGTTGATGGTTCTCACGTGGCAGTCAGAAAATAGGGTCGACCTATAAACTTGCACTGTACAGTAATCCCTTAAGCCGATGGACATTTGCTTTCCACATGTTTTCTATAGATATTGAACCATTGTTGTGTTACATTTTAGGACGCGTTCTCCGAAGAACTCAACTGTAAGCCTACTGTCCATTGTACAGAAAAATTCAAACTAGTTTTAATGCATTGATGTTATATATCACAAAAGTTGAGACACTTTTAAGATAAAAAATGTACATTTGGTTTGGACACATCCGTTACTGTCCAAACGGTGGCCAACTTTGGTCAAAAAATACAAATTTTTCTGGATGGAGATAATGATTTGATTTAACTTGGAATAGATTATTCTTACTATTTTGAGCAATTTGTGTGTCAAAACCAAAATTCTAGCTCGTTTCCTTTCAGCTGAAAATTTTGATTTTTTTTTCCGATGTTGAAAAAAAATCACTGAAAATCCGTCGTCAGAAAAAATTTTAACGTTACTGCAAAAAAGATAATATTAGATTCAAAACCAGCGTAAAAAATGACACTAGAAAATTTTTTGGCAAGTTTGGATATCCTGGGTATAAGTCCAGTTTTCGGCCAAAAAGTGCGAAAAACCGAGGTTTCACCATGGTAAGTACATGGTAACTAAAATTCGTCCAAAATCGACCATCTCCAATTTTTATGAAATTTATAACAGACGTAGTATTTTTGATGGGTAGTATTCTGGCAAAGTTTCAGAATCGGTGCTTATCGTCTTCTTGTATTCCTGGAGCTCGTATTTTTTCACTGTAAATGGACTTGGAAGCAATTTTTGCCGCTTTTTTTGTGCTTCTGAAAGTACACGAACACAATGAACACGGATTCTGAAACTTTGCCAGAATACTACTCATCAGAAATACTACGTCTGGTATAAATTTCATAAAAATTGGAGAGGGTCGATTTCAGGCGAATTTTAGTTACCATGTAACCTCATTTTTTTCCCACTTTTTGGCCGAAAACTGGTCTTATACCCAGGATATCCAAACTTGCCAAAGAATTTTCTAGTGTCATTTTCTACGCTGGTTTTGAATCTACTCGGTTGCGGCTGTTGTCTTTTGGGCGAAAGTTAAGGGTTTGCCATGAATTGTTAAGTTGCCAATAAAAACATGACACTATATTTGGTATGTATCTTTTTAGATATTTTGCTTTCTCAGTTTTAATTCATAATTGATAATTTATACTCAGAACTTGAAATTTAAAGTCGGTGGTTTAGGAGAAGGTCGGACGCAGGTTTGGCAAACTTCGGCGAACTCTGGGCGAGTTTTGAATGCGTTGCGTGCAAGCGACGCGTGCATTTCGAATTTTGCATCACCTATTTTTTTCCTATTTTCAGTGTTTTATCTGAATTCCTGCTCAAACTTCTAAATATTTTTATCCAAAAATGATTAGATTTTCGAAACCGAAAACGACGAAGAACAAATACCGTAAGTGGAATAGAAAATTTAAATTAAATCCTTTTTTCATTCAGCGTCGAACTGAGACAATCATTTTTCCGAGTTCTATCTCGTCTACGCCCCCTTCGAGCACATCTCCAGGAGTTTTCCACTGATAGAATGTAAGGTAAACAACAATTATGTTTTTCAGTCATTAATAACGTTTTTAGACTCAAGATTCGGAATTTCGTGAATGCCGCAAATCCTCCGCTTGGAAGGGACAAATCGGAGAAACCGCGAAGTCAGAAGAAGCTTCAAAAGGTTCGTATATTCTGGGTTTGAAGCTTTCGAAAACGTCCAAAAATATTGAGAAAATGCTTTTAAAATGTTTGTAATGTTGTGAAGATATATCTCCCTAAGTATATCGACAATGAAAATCCGACCTCATCGAGTCCATTTAAAATTTTTTAAAGGTTTCCAGTGAAATGGTAGGCGAAATGTCGTGAGAAATAGTTTAAAATGTATCGAAATTCAATTCTGCACAAGCCTTCTAGTCTGCTAAGTGTCAGAATTAGCAAATTTTCAGTGGGAAAAATAAAATGATAAAATTTTTTGAAAATTAATACATTTTTTCAGAAATAACAACTACAGCCAACTTCCCGATCGAAAAATCGACTTGGGCACGGAAAAGGATAAAGTGAAGATGGCAACATCAAGCCGGGAGGCGAAAAGTTTTTTAAGCTTCTTTTTTTTGTATGTTCTTTTTTTCATCATTTTTTTGTATTAGTTTTTATAACTATTTGAATAAGTAAAATTTTCTCATTGAACTAATCTTCCAAGAATAAAAAATAACAAATTTAAGGCGAAGCCAAGGCAAAGGTGGAAGTTTTAGGCGAAAGCTGGGCAAAGTTTTTCCAGCTTTTGAGCGGCGTTTGGGCACCTTCTGGGAAAATCTTAAGCGTAATCTGGCCAAACAGCACCCAAAAGGGGGCCAAGCTTCGCCCAAAAGACGACAGCCGCAGCCGAGTAATATTATCTTTTTTGCAGTAACGTTAAAATTTTTTCTGACGACGGATTTTCAGTGTTTTTTTTTCAACATCGGAACAAAAATCAAAATTTTCAGCTGAAAGGAAACGAGCTAGAATTTTGGGTTTAACACGAAAATTGCTCAAAATAGCAAGAATAATCTATTCCAAGTTAAATCTAATCATTATCTCCATCCAGAAAAAAATTTATTTTTTGACCAAAGTTGGCCACCGTTTGGGCAGTACCGCATGGGTCCGAACCAAATGTACATTTTTATCTTAAAAGTGTCCCAACTTTTATGATATATATCATCAATGCACAAAAACAAGTTTGAATTTTTCTGTACAGCACTATTTTGGTTTTGCCAGAGAATGTGTCTTAATGTTGTCATTTTGTTTTCATTTCAATCCTACATATTATGTCAATGTTTTAGAGGTCACATAACCACAAACGCTTTGTAATTGCCTCTTCTGTTTTTTCATTTTAAAATCAACAATATATTCTGCTGAACTGGGCGCAATACATTGTATGGAGCATGCATAAGAAGGCGTCGGATGAGTAGGATTTCGTTTTTTTTCTAACAAGGGAAGTGCCCGAAGTGTCCTCTCGCTTTTTTAGATATTAGTGGAAAAATTTCCCTTTCCTGGACTAGCACAAAACGGATAAATTAAGGGGCCCATGCGCAGGTAGAGCAGAATGGCAAAACTTTTTCTGTTTTTTTTTCAGAAAAAGTAGATCAAGTCCTTTCAAAAAATCAAAACTTTGAACAGAGCACAGGTAAAATTATCAGCAAACGTGTATCTTGTAGAACAGATTACATGTTACAAAAAGCCATTACCCCTTGATATCTTTGCAAAGAACTTTCCTATGACGGGAAAAGTGCGAATGGTCTGATTGCTTTTCAGACTATTCCTTCTTTTTCAGACTATTCCTTCCAGAATTGAACATTTTAAGCGTTATGGGAAACAATTAAACAACGTGACAGGTGAAGCCATTGTTCGTTTACATCATGATCGAGAACATGAAAACGGATCTAAAAAGAAACTCCTCCCATATGCAGATTTTACGAATAGCACTTATTTGATTTTATGACTCTCGTAAAATTTTACGAGTATAAAAACCCCCGAAAATCCGTGAAGATTTTCAACATCGCCTTTTACCCTCCTCCTGACGCCTCCATTCCAAAAAAAAATGCGGATAACAATCTCAGATCATTTAAATAATGTATTAAAGAGAACAAAATGAAACAATGTGTCGGGAAACCGTCCCGGTTTTCTTCTAAAATTCCTCTCTTGCTCATTACAAAAATAACTATTTATAGATGTCGCACAGGTATTTTCTGCTAAATGAAGGTAGCATATTTGTTTTTTGATTCCTTTGTTTTTAATCAGTTTCAGGTCACTCAAACAAACGTCGATTTTTCGACAAACTCATCATTCTGACAGATATAACTTTCGTTAGCGGCTTAATTTTCACGATGATTGCAAGAGAAGGAAATGAAGGCAAAAAGGTCTTGCCTGTTTTCAAAGCATTCCATGATTGTGTTCGTCCAAAATTGACACATCTCAAAGGAAATTATGAGCAGGTTGGGTCCCTAAAAATCATTGAAGAATCGTTTTTGACTTGAACAGTTTTAGTTTTGGCACTTATTCACAACACTAACTGAGGAATGCGATTACTTGGAAGCGTACAAGGCTTTGGATATCCGAACAGCCGAAAATCAAGATGAGACAAAGTATGTAGCATTCCCACACCGGGTGAGAGCCTTACGAAATAATTTTGAAACTATTTTCAAGAATCTAGGACAAACTTTTAACAATGGTTACTCTTGGAATTGGTCATGACGTGAATGCAGAAGTTAAACTGAAAGAGGTTCTCCATTTCATGGCATAAATCAAGTAATCCCAAAATTTCAGCTCTACCACAATATTGAATTCTTTGGTGCCGGTCCAGCATCCGATATTAACAAAGATCTCTATGTCAATACTTTAGGAGGCGAATATTTTCAATACGCGGTCAGTGGGACAAATGGAATGCAAAAGTCGAGAGTTTATGAAAGTAAGTTAAGAAATTATTTGAAAAAGAGGCGAAAGTATGCATTCTAACAGCACAACCGACTGCTGTCATTTTTTTCAGGTTTACCCAAACATAGCTGAGTTACGGTGGCACAAGCTGTGCGGCCGACCGGTTTCATTTATGACAGCACACGATAGCTACTAAATAACCTCGAAAACTTTCCGACCCCTCTTCCCAAAAAAACAAACAAAATGTCAATGTTTACAGAATAAAGATACGAAGAAAAAATCACGAAACACATCGGAGTGCATAATTTCCTCAAAAATGTTCTTCACAAGGATAGAATCGAAATTTGGAGATTGATATCGAGCAAAACGAGTATCCAATTCTTGAGCAACTCCACAGCAATGGACTAATCGAGAAAGAGGGCGTGAAGATTTGTCAGATTAATGTGGAGCTACATAATGACCTCTTTGAGCAGAACTCTCAGTTGGAAATGATGAAATTTCATGATTTCGCGTGGAAGCTTCTGGAAGACAAGAAGTTCATCATGATGAAGCCGGTTGATGTCTCTGTAAAAACTTTCCATTTTATCAGAACTTTTATCGTTAATGTTTCGGATAAGGAGTGCACTGATTTATATTTGAAATGAAGAATCGTTTTCGAGTTTCGATTAAAGAGCATAATCACATCAAACACACACAAAAGAAAAGTGTGTACAAAAATACAAAACTTGGGATACTGTATCATGTCTTTTAACGAAGTTACAGACCAAACAGGCCGAAAAAACCGCCAGGGCCATGCCCGGACCGGATTCGCAGCTTTATAGCTTATAACTTTGTCTATAGAGATACAGATTTTCAAATTGTTTTGTTTTGAAGTGCTCGTCGAGTTCTATCATATGTGACTAGGATGGCTGAAAAATATTGATTATGAAAGAAACTATGACCCGCCAGGGCCCATTTGCAAGTATTGTAGTAAGACGATCAGTGTATGAAGAAAACTGGATATTGCAGCGCTGGCAATTTATTGTAGAAAAGAAACTTATGGGAGGTTCGACATTCAGGGCAATAGAGGATGGTGGAGGAGAGTATATTACAGTGAAATATTCAAAAACAGGCAAAACATACACATTTTGTTTTTATTCTACTTCTATTATTTTACAAAAAACAATAAGCGATTGAGATCTAATGAGCATAACAACCAATATCATTAATGAAATGTGTACCTGTTGCATAATAATAAGTAATGGGATAGAGAGTTTCCATTGGAATGTGTGTGGCAGTGACATGAGTACATTTGATTTTTGGATGTTGCACAAATTCACATAATTGAGGACCAGGGCATTCAATATTTTCGAGTCTCCCTAAATAATGATATCGATAATATCGATTGTTGTAACATTTGACAACAAGGTCAGTGAAGTAATGGATGTTTGGAAGTTTTGCGAAGATTTTTCTGATCCGAGGCTTCCGTATCATTCTTTGAAATTCTTTTTCAATGCTTGCAACATATTTGCTAGAGATAATTTTTGCAGTGGAGTTATCGAAGTATAGTGGTTCAGTGAGAGCCCTTCCACTCTCATTCTTTTCATCAGTCTGAAATTTGAGGTAGTTTTTTTTTTAATTTCTACAAACTATTAATTAAAGGGGAACTAAATTTTTATCGCATTAAAATGTTTCAAAAATATGTATTTTCCTAATATTATTGCGAAAAAATTCAAAAAAATCCTAAAACCTCGAAAAACGGCGTTGAAAAAAATGATTTGAATTCACGCGCAGTGAGAAACCTAGGCCACGGCATTGTAGCGCCTTCCTTACATGGAAGTTTTTCCCGATTTTTTCGGTTTACATTCCCGGCAGGTAAAAAACGTAAAAAATTACCGTCGGCCACTTGAAAAGAAGGCTGTCAAGCTCCGTGGCCTAGGTTTCTCAATTCGCGGGAATTCAAATTTTACCTATTTTCCGAATATTATTGCGAAAAAATTCAAAAAAAAAATCCGAAATTCCCGAAAAACGGCGTTGAAAAGGAAGAAAATTCAAAAAAAGGTGCCGCCGGGGGACGAGGATTTTCAGTGAGAAACCTAGGCCACGGCAGCGGGCGCCTTTCCTACGTGGCAAATTTTCCGGATTTTTTTCAATTTCTTGTCCGGCAGGTAAAAAACGTAAAAAACCACTGTCGGCGACTTGAAAAAAAGGCTGTCAGGTGCCGTGGCCTAGGTTTCTCACTGAAAATCCTCGTCCCCCGGCGGCACCTTTTTTTGAATTTTCTTCCTTTTCAACGCCGTTTTTCGGGGATTTCGGATTTTCTTTGAATTTTTTCGCAATGATATTTGAAAAATAGATTAATTTTAACATATTTAAATGCAAAGAAATTTTTGATTGGAGTCCCCCTTTAACACTTCCTCGTTCTTTTTTCAACTCACCCACACTATTGTTTTCAAATGAGTGATAACATTCTCTGTAACTTCATATTTTTGGAATCCATTTGGAAGAATTGGCGGATAATGTATCCAGGTGTAGTTGAGATTCCTAGGATCCACCACAATTTTCCCCGTTTCTCTCTGTAGTTGAAATCTCATTTTATTGTATTTTATAATCCACTCACTTTGTGTTTACATTCTAAACTACCGATCATTTTCTTTAACGAGAATCTGGAACTATCTCTCGCTACCACTGCATCATAATTTTCTTTATGATAAAAGATATAAGCCATTTTTTTCTTTCCGTCCATTATTTTTTGAAATTCTTCTGCGTAGGTTGGCGCTACTTTGGGTATCAGAACATCATCCAGGTCTAGGAAAGTTACAAATCTAGCAGATTCCTTGAACTGTAAAAGGCAATCGGTTTGAGAAGCAGCTTGATTTCGGAATTCAATCTGATTGTAAGGATCGGCGATGGTTTTAGGAACTCCAGGAAAGTCAACTTTCACCCAAGGCTGAACAGTCATGTATCCCTATAATTTTTGAGTATTGAAATCGTTTCATAAACTTTAACAAACCTCTTTTTCATATTCTTTCATTAGCTCGTAGAAAGGAGTGACAGAACTGATCAGATATAAATGCATGTGAGCTCCAAATCTGGAAATAAGAATCATTCCGGTTAATTTTTCTCAATCCGTAAATCTGTTCATGTTAGAAATTCTGACAAGAGATATCCGGTTTATGTCCGGATCAAACGATTTTGATATTTCTCTTTCTCTCATCATTCAAAATTTCGAGGAACATGGGTAACATTGAAAACCATAATTGCAAAGTACGGAACTAAAATGCTGGTGGATTTTAAAATTTTTTGATTGATTTTTGTTAAGAAGTTTAGGTTTTAAGCCATTCTCGTCTATGTCTTTTACTCGTCTATTTTCCGGCTAGAAAGTCATATCTTCTCACTCGAAATTCTCATAGTTCGGTCTTGCAAAAGTCTTCGTTTTCAGAAGTCTGGAGCTTGGATGTCCAGTCCCGAATAATTTTGAAATTTTTAGACGATGTAAAAAAGACCAAGACGGAAACTTTGCATTGACAGAGTTTTTTGAAAACCCCCAGTTTTTCAGCTACTTGCAGAGTTCTGAAAGACACCTGTTTTTTTCACGTTTTCTGTACAAAAACATGCCAAAATGAGGTGCCTTTCAATAATCGGCCAGAATCTGAAAAACTTGGCATTTTCAAACAATTCTGTGAACGTGAAGTTCTTAGTCTATTTAAGTCTGTTGCACCCTGTTCGAAATTTCCAAAGTGATCGGAAACTTGACAGTCGAGCTCCAGACTTCTGAAAATGCTCAAAATCAACTGAAAAATACGTTTTTGTATATCTTATTGACCGGTACCGTGATTTTCTTCCGACTTACTTTCTATAAATATGAACCGCCAATAAGAAGTTCTGCCACTGCTCACTAACGTACAACGGAGACGTACAAACAACAACTTCTCGTTTCGTATATGAAGGCATTGTGAATGGAATCTGGAAATGTTCTCGCTCGAGACTTCCACATTTCCTAGTTAAAAAATCCAACCTCAGCCAATCCATTATACCCGAGCATACTAATGCTTTTCACATTTGGTAAGAGTTGCGCTGTTGCGAAAATCGTTATTATTTGACAAACTTCATGAGGTGTCACCCTGAAAAAAATTGAAGCCCATCGTTTATGAAACTCTGAATTCTACACTCACCTTACGTACGGAGCTCTCACTATAACGCTAGCAGTGGCATTGCTACCCATTATAACTAGTTCCGATGGATCTGATGATAGGAAAGGTGCCAATTTGATAACTGGATTCCAGACGAGGTTAATGCTCATAACGAGAGCAATTGCATTGTCACCCAAACTAAATTTCACTAAGGCTTATCAAAAACTGTAATTAGAAATCGAACCTTTTAGAAGTTGGATAATAATAGGAAGAAGTAATGAATGCCTTGAGTTGCCTACCGTTTCGAAGAATTTCACCAGTTGCAATGAGATCCTCTCTGAATTTGAATAGTCAAAGTTTTACAAATCAATCTGGTACTACTCTGGAGAATTTTTGGGACGCTAGGGCACCGTGCCCTGTTTTGGTTCACCGTACCGTGTCCCCAGCTTGCAGGTGTGGTGCCCCTACCGTGTCGTTGAACCATCTACGCATATCGTTTCTAGTGTTTGAATTTTGAAGAACGGCGCACATCACGGTAAGTGCACGCAAAATGCATACCTCTCTCGGGAAGGATTTCCCCGTTACAGAGAAACCGGTGCCACAAGTAGAAACACATTTCCTGAGTAACTTACGTAGTGACAGTGAGCCCAAGACTAAACTCAATAATTGTGACCAATAACCATACAACAAATAGTAAAATAAATACAAAAACGAAAACTTCTTTGGGTCTCCGACGAGGTTAATGCTCATAACGAGAGCAATTGCATTGTCACCCAAACTAAATTTCACTAAGGCTTATCAAAAACTGTAATTAGAAATCGAACCTTTTAGAAGTTGGATAATAATAGGAAGAAGTAATGAATGCCTTGAGTTGCCTACGTTTCGAAGAATTTCACCAGTTGCAATGAGATCCTCTCTGAATTTGAATAGTCAAAGTTTTACAAATCAATCTGGTACTACTCTGGAGAATTTTTGGGACGCTAGGGCACCGTGCCCTGTTTTGGTTCACCGTACCGTGTCCCCAGCTTGCAGGTGTGGTGCCCCTACCGTGTCGTTGAACCATCTACGCATATCGTTTCTAGTGTTTGAATTTTGAAGAACGGCGCACATCACGGTAAGTGCACGCAAAATGCATACCTCTCTCGGGAAGGATTTCCCCGTTACAGAGAAACCGGTGCCACAAGTAGAAACACATTTCCTGAGTAACTTACGTAGTGACAGTGAGCCCAAGACTAAACTCAATAATTGTGACCAATAACCATACAACAAATAGTAAAATAAATACAAAAACGAAAACTTCTTTGGGTCTCCGACAGAAGCTACGCATTGTTTCTTTGCCAGAAAGAGGGAAAAGGAAAGGAAAAACCATTATAGCTATTCCAAACTTGAGATCTTATTCTCGATAGTCTTTCAATCGTTCAAATGAGAAATAAGTTTGCAAGAGACATTTTAGACAAAGAGAACACGGATACAATTACCGTTCGGAAAAAGAGATACCATAAAACTTGTAATAGAAGCCCCCCCCCACACTTTACTTTTACAAACTTATTTCCGATCCTGTCAAAGATATGAAATAGATGTCGACTAATAAATTGTTAATATGAGAAGCTACATAATATGAGAAGTGTTTTGCCAGTTGACAAATTTTTGATATCTTGCGTAGGAGCCAAAAAAACATGACAGTCGAACCTAATTTAATGCGAAAGGCAAAATATAAAAATTTTCAAAAAGAGCAGAAGAGGAGTATCAGGATGGTTTTGTTGGGGATTCGACGACATTCAAAAAACGAAAATTCTAAATTTTTTGAAATTATGAAAGTTTGGAATACTGAACATTTGAAGTTCTGAAATACTTAATTTCTGGAACTCTGAAATTCAGAATTTCAATGTCAGTATTCAAAATATGGCATTCGAAATTTATTATAAAAGTCAATAATGGTTTTTATAACTCCTTCGTATTTCATATTTCGTATATATCCTAATTCTTCGTCCATTCTTCCTGGACGCTCGTGTTCACGTTGACACCTGTTATTTTTATTTGACTTCTCCGATTTTCAGACAAATTCCACATTCGTCTTCTGTGTCAATTGAAGAAAATCAAAATGTCTCAAAAAAAGTATTTCAAAAATCGTAAGAGATCAAAAATCAAAAAAGGTTTTCAACACAAACACCCATTTTCCCATTTTCGCACTTTCGTTTTATTGTTTTAAAGAACTGGCGGAGATCGAAATCTTAAACGTAAAACCGTAATCGTTTTTTTTTTCAAATAATTCATTTACATAATTACTAAAAGTCTGTCCTAGATATTAAGGCACTGCACGGTCTCCCCTGTTCCCGAACTGCAAGTAGTTGAGCGCTATTGCGCGATTATTTTTTGAAAAAATTTGTACAGAAAAACCAGTTCTCAACGAAATCTCAACGAGATTTACGAAAGTATTTTTATATGTCGGTTTCCTCATCTTTCATAGCGAAATTTAGCTTAAAAACAGGAAGGAGGCACCACCGGAAGGAGTTGACAGGCAACGAACAGCCGCCCTTTCCTCTATCCCCTCCAGGGCTTGCACGAGAAGTGCCGCGGTGGCCGACTGGATAGTGCACAGGTCCTGGGCGATGATGCGCATAAAGGACTCGATCCATATGCGATCCTCTAGAAGTCCGTTTGACACATATCGCGAACAACGAGCTGCGATGAGTCTCATATGTGTGCGATGCGGGAGAGGCCGAATCGAGTGTTCCGAATGCGCGCGTATCCTAGATGGATTCTGGGTGGGTGGGCGATGTGTGCGATATGGGTCTGATACGGTAGGCCGACTACAAAACTCCGAAATCCCGGATGCGCGCATTGTTTACCGTAAATCCACACCGGTAACTTTGTCAATTTTTCGTCAATTCGAGCCTACATTTCTGGTTTTTCGATTATTCTTTCGATGTTTTTTGTGAAAAAGAGTTATGGCAGAATAAAAAATCGCTGAATTCTTGCAGAAACATGTCTTTCACTCGTTAATTGCTATGTTTTTCGCCAAAATAGGTGATATTGAGATTTTTTTATTTCACTTTTTAATTATTGTAAAAATCGTATTTTCAGGTGGAGTAAAAGGTAAGTTGGTAAGTATACAATAATTACAAAGTGTAAATTATAAAAATTTTCAATTTTTCATGCAATTTCAAAAATAGTGAAAGTGAAACATATTTTTTGAACAAATGAAAAAAAAACAATTTTTAGCGAATTTTTTCCCATTTTTTTCTGTTTTTGATTGTATTTTTAAAATATTAATTCGCATATCAAATTTAAATGGAAGCTGCCATAAGTCTTTTCTAAAACCAAAACATTGAGTTTCGAAAAATCAATAATATGTCGTTCAAAATATAAAAGAATATGGAATAATAAAGGAAAAGTACGAAATCGAAAGACCTGAACAAAATCACATCACAATAGAACTTAACTGATACTTCTAGGAACAACGTTTTAGTTCATTTCATCGAGTGCCAGCAAGCCAGGCGAGGAGATGCTTTGCGGCGGCGGTGTGCCCCATATGCCCCGTATATGCCCTATACCGGCGTCCTTTCCCTGTACCCAATTCATCGGCGCGTCCTCCGTTGCCCATCCATTATGCGTATGCGCGCCCAGGACCTGTGTGGGAGCTGCGTTAGCCGGAAGCTGCGTTAGCCGGAAGTTCGAATCACTCTTGTGTCTATTGTCTTTTTCTTTAATATCCTCGTCGAATTTTCCGTGCCGCAGGATTGCAAGCTTCTAAACCCCGCCCACTTTTTTACGCACCGCAAAAAAATAGGAGAAAGTCAGTACATTGAGGTCTGGTACAAAAGGGTCTGTAACTCATGTCTGGAGAAAGATTTTTCGCTGAAATTTTGGGAATGGACTTCTATAAGAATGGATAAAAGAATCCAATAATAAAAATAAAAATATATATTTTGAAAATTATGTTGTGGTGCCTAAATGCTTGAGATTTTATAAGATTCGAGGAAAATACAAATGATTACCAGTTAAATACCTCACCAGCAGTTATCAAAAAACAAAACATCGCACGCTTTATAGGGCAACGCGCTTACTGCTTCAGAAAGTCGAGATGTGCCTCATAATGCTGCAGAAAGTCTAGAGAACCTTCAAACTGCTGCAGAAAGGTGAGAGAAAATCCCGAGATGGTTCCAGGGCTTCAAAGCCTATCCTTGTCCGGTGCTGCTCAAAGGTCCTTGTCCTCGAAATTTTTCGTTGGTTTTTTTGTATTTTTCATCATTGTGTAGATTTTCGCGATTCTCCGAAAAAAAAACAACGCTGGAACTTTGTTGTGACTCAAATTTCATCTGAATGTAAGGTCATTTTTTAAAAACTTCTGCTGTGCACGGCGGGACTGAATGGTTTCATCGGCCAAACAGGAGAGTATTAGAAAAGATCATGATCGAGAAAATAAAAACGGATCTGAAAAAGCACCAATCCAGTTTTTACAAATATCACTTTTTAATAATTTAACGACTCTCGTAAAATTTTACGAGTATCAGAAAGTCGGAAAATCCGTAAAATCCCTAAATCTACAAAACACATTTGATCTGTATCTAAGATTTTCAACATTGCCCTTTTACCCTCTTCTAGACACCTATATCCCAAAAAACTGCGGATAACAATCTGATGTCAATCGCATCATATGTTTATGTATTAAAGAGAACAAAAGAAGCCAATGTAGAGTGTAACCATCCCGATTTTCTACTCAAATTCCACTTCTGATAATCATGAAAACCACATTTAAAAAATCGCACCGGTATTTTTTTCTAAATGAAGGTAAAATGTTTTTTTTTGAATTCTTTGATTTTCAGTTAGTTTCAGGTCACTTAAGCAAACGTCGAGTTTTCGGCAAACTCATTATTCTGACAGGTTTAACTTTCATTGGCGGCTTAATTTTCACTTCGATTGCAAAAGAAGGAAATGAAGGCAAACCGGTCTCGCCCGTTTTCAAAGAATTCCATGATTGTGTTCGTTCAAACTTGGCACATTTGAAAGGAAATTATGACAAGGTTTGTTTCCAAAAATATATTGTTATCCGAATTTTTACTTAACAATTTTTAGTTTTGGCACTTATTTACAATACTGACTAAGGGATGTGATGACTTGGAGGTATATAAGGCTTTGGATATCCGAACAGCTAAAAATCAAGACGAGATAAAATATGTGGCAATCCCACACCAGGTGAGAGCATTTTGGGAATCTTTTAAAGCAATTTTCAAGTTTCCAGGACGAACATTTAACAATGGTCACTCTGGGAATCGGTCATGACGTGAATGCGGAACTTAACTGAGAGAAGTACTCTACTTGAAGTCATAAATCAAAGAATCCCAAAATTTCAGCAATACCCCAATATTGAATTCTTTGGCGCCGATCCGGTATCTGATATCAACAAGGATCTTTATGTAAATATTTTGGGAGGCAACTATTTCGAATACGCGGTCAGTGGGACAAGTGGAATGCAGAAGTCCAGAGTTTATGAAAGTAAGTTAAGAAATTATTTGAATTCAGGGCGAAAGTATGCGATCCGACATGGCGGTATACATTGATCCGTGTTGGTTATCGTGTTTCTTTCACATATGACATCGGTCGACGTAGCAGCGGCACGACAAATAACCACGAAAACTTTCAAGTCCCCTCTTCTCAGAAAAAAAAAGTTTTTCAGGAGAAGGATACGAAGAAAAAACCACGAAACACATAGGAGTACACAACTTCTTCAAAAATGTTCTTCACAAAGATCGAATCGATATTCTCTGGATCGATATTGAGCAAAACGAGTATCCAATTCTTGAACAACTCCACAGCGATGGACTGATCGACAGAGCGGGTGTGAAGATTTGTCAGATTAATGTGGAGCTACACAAGGACCTTTTTGAGCCGAAATCTGATTCCGAAATGATAAAGTTTCATGATTTCGTGTGGAAGCTTCTGGAAGACAAGAAGTACATCATGATGAAGCCGTATTACGTGAAGGGTCTGAGTTATATCAGAACTTTCCTTATTAATGTTTCGGATAAGGAGTGCACTGATTTTTTTTTGAAATAAATAATCGTTATTATCGAATTTTGATTAAACAACATAATCACAGCAAAAACTGAAGCTTTCTCTGTTTCTATTGGCAATATTTTCTAAATTATGACTTTTGAACTGCAATTGCACTTTTGAGCTAAATTATCTCAGCAAATATTTTATGAGTTGGCAGTTTCCTTATATAAATCCAAATAATTGAGATCAAAGCGCATGTGCGACATCACCTGCATCACGTTATTCAACTTATCACAATTCTCGCCATTGATTTCAGGGACATGCAATTCGATCTCATAAATGTCCATGCAAGAATCCTTGGAAACGTTTGAAATAGACATCTCAGCTTAAGAGTCTTTATTTTTTTCAAAGACTATTTTTGAGAATTTCAAAGTTCTTCCAATGAAAAGTTCTCAATATGATATCTTGTGGTCCGGTACTATTCCGCTCCTGATAAGGCGTGTAAGTGGGCGTAAAGTTGTGTATCAGTATTTTTTAGCCACCCTGTATGTGCGGAAGGGGGGTCATTTGATTGACAAAGAATAGCTAGCTCTGGACGCCCGGAAACCTAAATTTTCGTGAAAAAGGGTATTCTATGTATGTCTTTGGTGATTTGTCGAAGGAGACGAGACTGGGAACTCTTACATGGTGTTACCCTCGAAAAAAATCGAGACCCTATATGGTTGGATAAAGCGTGAAAAGTTATTTTAGATTCCAAATGGAATAGTTGGTAAAAAATTTTTTTTGGGAGTTATAGTCCAAAAAGTACAAAAAAATGCTAAATTTTCAAAAATCATAACTNTGTCAAGTTATGTCCGTTTGTATATAGTTAAACTTGATAGAACGACCAAACTATTTTTTAAACATAATCAGAAGAATGTAATCTTATCAACGGCTTGAACAGAATTTTGATTTAGGCCCTAGAATCAAAAATATTTACGATTTTCCGAGCCTGACCCCTATAGATGTGCCCTGTCACATGTCAAAATTTTGATTTTTTCAAGATGATGATTTTAAGAAATGGTACGGCATTTGAAAAATTAACTTTGTATGTCGCAGGATTTTATTTCAAACACTCTAGGCAAACGATACTCAAGTAAAAATCACAAAAACAAGTATGCCCCTCATCATACCGGCCGCCGAGGACAACGAATTCAAAGAAGCCAAGTGCCAAAAATCGATATTTTTCGGCATAACTTGTGTGGACATGATTTCCCCCGGGGTATTGATATGTTTCTATAGTAAATCAAATGTGTTGAATTCAATGGTCATAATGAAAAAAAAAGTTAACCTAGGATTTTTGAGATATTGAAAATTTTTTTGGTTTTTTCAAAAAATCAATAATCCAATCAATAGGAAAAAAATTAAAAATGTTAATTCTCAAGTGTTCAATTAATTGTCTATCTACTGTTTTTTTAAATTTCAACAAACGGACATAAACTGACAAAGTTATGATTTTTTAAAAATTTTGACATTTTTTGGTACTTTTTGGACTATAACTCCCAAAAAAAATTTTTTACCAACTATTCCATTCGGAATCTAAAATAACATTTTACGCTCTATCCAACCATATAGGTTTCGATTTTTTCGAGGGTAACACTTGGGAGTCATTCCATGTTAGATGAAGGGAACTACAACTGCCACCTTGTACGCTGCACAATAGGAAAAATTAAAATCGGTAGTCAAACCAAAACAGGGAGCAAAGACTAAAGACTACTTCCAGCGCAACAATGCGAGATCGCCCTGACTAGAGCTATCAGCCAAAAGAACAGGTCGCTTGGCTGAATTACTGTTTTGCACCCGTCGTATTCTGGGTCAATGGCATCAAGGAATTACCGGAGCGTTGGCAGACATGTCTATCGACTATCGATGCTCATGGACATTAATTTCATTGATTCATTGAACCCCCTCTGCTCTGAGACAAAACTTGATCAAAAATTTTACCAAAATCGGGAGAAACTTATTTGCCAACCTAATATTATTGTGAATACACTAACATTTTTCTGTTTCTCACATTCGAATTTTGGAGGTTTTCCGAAATTTAACCAGAATTAAAAAGTGATGCGTCTTCAGCGTGATTTCATCAAATTTCTTAAAGCTGTTCGACAACTGCTCGAGAATTGTGTGGATAAAAAAAATAGAACTGTATTGCAAAGCTCGTTTTTTCGGGATTTTTTGAATTCAAAATCTGAATTTTTTTTTCTGAAAATTTGCGAATTTCTGCATCAACAAGTTCAACTCCTCGAGGGTCATATATATATATATATATCGAGGGGCATATATAAATATAAATAGTACCAGAAAAAGAGTTAACTGTATTTTGACTATTTCAGTAAAAGATAGTCAACTTTGGAGCCCTAAAAAGGATTCCAGTGTTTTAAATAGACACTCTAAAACGGCCCAGAAATAAGACCGGATACCTGAAAAAAGAGAAAGACGACAGAAATTCAGCTTTAAGAATCACCGAATTTATTGACCTATAATTCTCTGTCTTTAATACACCATGAGAATATGTGAAACATAATTGGGACGGAAATTAATATTGTGTGTGGAAAAATAATGACGATAAACAGGAAAAGTAGGAACAGCTGACTCCGTCGCGTTCCTTGGTGCGCGTCGAGACTTAGATGTGCAGGGTACAGTAGTCCTCAATTTTGGCGGGACGTTCAAATCGCATCGTGGGTGGTCGGCGTCGGTGATTCCTCATAAAAAGAATAGAAAACAATACAATAAAATGAGAATGTATTCAGAAAGGGGAAAAAGTCGTGATTAGGGGAACTTCAGACCCCTGAATTCGCGACATCCAGAAATTTTCCATTTTTCTGAAAACTTCAAATTATACCAAACAGAAAAAATAGGTTCAATTTTGTAAACTTCCTTGGCAAACTTCATTGGCACTTTACTGATGGTTGTGCTACTTCAAACGTGTATATCTCGCTTTGCTAAATTTGTACAAAAAAGTTGTCAACTACATAAATGAAGCTCTATTTGTTTCCAGTAAACTCTGAAATTTTCATATCATTTGAAAAATTGTGAAAAACTTTTTCAGGACTTCAAAGCTTACTATCCCGCACTGATATAGTCAAAATGTGATTGTTTTTTTTTTGTTTTAACCGTGTTGTAGTGTTCCAAATGAGTTCTTTTCACTCAAGACCCGAGAAATTCATCTACTAATAAATCCGATTTATAAAAAAAATGTGATTTCAAAACATTTTTAATGGATAAAATCAATCATACAACTTAAGTGATGTGTGTCAAAAAAACCGAAAAAAATTTTTTTTTAAAGAAGCTGGGTTGTCTTCTTCGAAAATTCGGTCCGAAATAACAGAACCGAAGCGTTTTCCCGTTTTCTCCATCTCAATATTCGTTTGTATTTTGTTGCTTTTCCGAAAATCTAACGATCTAAATCTCAAAAAACCTGATCTGCACTCCGTACCTCATCTTAGATTTTTGAATTTCAATTCAACCGATCTTCCAGAACCGATGCTTTCGAATTTTCAAAATTCCCTAGTCACGCTTTTAGTATTCTGCCTTTTTTCATTATTCTGTACTGTCTATTGGATCGGACCATCACAAGAATTTCAAAAAATCACTGAAACGAGAGGAGAAGAACCCAGAATAATATTCAAGCCAATTACAGAAGTGAAAAATGGAAATAAATGGATTGTAGTGACAAGTATCAATTATCCAACTGATGATGTGATGGTGAAATTCTCAAAACTCTTGAAAAAAAATATTTCTGTCGATTTTCAGAGATTAGCAGCAATTCCAGATTGGAATCTTGTAGTTGTAGGAGATACAAAAACACCAAAGGATTGGGAATTACCTAATGTGCATTTCTTATCAGTCGATTATCAGAAAAATATGTGTTCGTTTTTGTTGATTGTTCGGAGAAGAAATCCAACAATTTTCAGCATTTTCCTTGATCTCCTCACTTCCTTATAAATCTTACACCAGAAAAAATATCGGATATTTATATGCAATTTCTCATGGAGCTGAATGGATTTATGATACCGATGATGATAACAAACCATATGATAAGTTTACAAATTTCAGAAAAAATTAATAATTTTTCGAAAAATTTTACGACAGGGTCTGAAACAATTTCAATATGAAGAGACAGTTTCTGGAGTACGGTATCAAGCAAAATCATTCGAAGAAGCAAATAACTCTACAGGAATTATGTAATATTGGAAATTTAAAAATTGATTGTCAAATTCAAATTTTCAGAAAGCGTCTATTCAATCCTTATCAATTTTATGGAGTCGATCAAATGTGGCCTAGAGGATTTCCGTTGGAAAATATTGAGGTTTTGACAATTATGCGATTTGAAAATCTGAGATTATTCTATTTTTTCAGAAACATTCAAATGTACTAGGTCAACAAACGTTATGTTATCAAATGCCAAGACCAGCTGTTCAACAGGGATTAGTACACCATGATCCAGATGTCGACGCAATTTACAGGTAATAAATCATTTATGTAATGTTTTGAAGATTTTATTACTAATGTATTAATCCTCAACCGAAGAAATTCGGATCGACAACCAGTTTCTAGAAAATCTCACTTAAAAAATGGCGAACAATTTTTGCGAGCAAGTCTGGGAGACACTCATCTTTGGGAACCAGAAAAAAAAGTCTAGAATTTTTCGATTTGTCTGAAAATTTCAGAGATTACTAAACAAAAAAAGAGCTTCATTTGTGTTATTGACGACTTTTCTGTAAAATCCAAAAACGAAAGATAGGCGGCTTTGAGGTTTGAGGGGCACAACTCTCATTTTAGTGCCGGTTTCAGCATTTTTTGGATCTTTTCCATCAGAAATGCAATTTGGCAAAAAACCTCAATTACCAAGAAATAGTGTAGTTGTATTCAATATACTCTGAAAGTTTTGAACAGATTGGAAAATTCCGGACAACTTTTTTCAAGTTCTCGAGCACTCAAAATATGATTTGTTTTGTCTGGTACTGTGTATACCGTAAAACCTATATTAGAAAAGCTGACCCTTCTCATACAGCTTTTGAAATCATACGGTACTTTTTCGCAAATCCGTTCTACGATTTTTGATCCGGTCTTTATAAATCAAGACGAAGCTTTTTTCCCGTTTTCTCCAGAAAAATCGCGCATTTCTTATTTATTTCGTTCTTCTTTTTGAAGGACGCAAAACGGAGATTGTAATCCCGAACATTGATCTTCCTATGGATCATCGTCCGACAAATCTACATGCAATCCCTTTTCTTGAACTTCCGAACTCCGGTTTTCTATGATTTTGACATTTTTGGGATTTTGCTCCCGATAACTCTTGTAAAATTTGTACTGAGGAAAGTCCTAAAAATTTCAAAATCAGCACTGAAATGAAAGTTGTAGCACTTCAATATCTCGATTTCCTGAACTTGTACAAAAAAGTTGTCAACAAACTGAAGCTCTGTTTTTGGATAATATAACCTGAAACTTTTAACCAAATCGGAAAAATCTCGAACTAATTTTTCAAGGTCTTCTATCACAGGGACTCTTCATTAGAGGGACCTTTCCATTTTCCTGGTTATTTTTTCCCAAATTTTTCATTGAAAAATTCGGTGACTTCTTGTTAAAGGTGTGGGGACAGGAGATTTTTCGTAGTTTTTTTTTGTAGCTAGAGTATGCATTCTACCGTCACGGTGTACAACGCTTAATGTCATTCTGCGTACAGCTGTCGTCCTCGCCTTTATGTATGCAACCGGGCGTGCTCTTTCTCTTTGCCCGCGTGGCTCAGTCGGTAGCGGCGCCGCACCCTCAATCTTCGCCTTCACAAGTTCAACTCCTCGAGGGGCATCTTTGAACGGAATTTCGAGAACATTATTTTTTTCATGTCCCCCCACCTTTAAAAAGTTCCTGTAAATCGAAATCAAACTTCTGTGAAATTTCAAAGTTTCCGCAGTAATCACGAAGGTCCCTTCTATTAGAGGTGTTTTTCTAACATAGGTTCTACGGTACTTTTTGCGTTATTTTTTCCTGCTCCTATTTTTGATTCGTATGATCAATCATAGATCAGGACCAAGTTTTTCTCCATCTTCTCCAGAAAAGTCGGGTCTTTCTTATTTATTTCTTTCTTATTTCTAAAGGACGCAAAACGGAGATCGTAATCCCGAAAATTAGTCTTCCTAAAAATCATTTTCCGACGAATCTACATCCAATACCTTTCCTCGAACTTTAATCCGGTTTTTTAAATTGACATTTTTGAGACTTTTCTCATCAGAATCCCTGCGAAATTTGATTGATAACTGTCGTAACATCAGCACTGAAATCATGGTTATGCAACTTTAAGCCTTTTGTCTTGTCTTGTGGGATTTTCACAGAAAAGTTGTCAACTACAAAGTTGAAGCTCTAATTTTGTTAAGTTTATCTCTGAAATTTTCCGAGAAAGTCTAATAATTCTGAACTGCTTTTTCAGACTCCTTCACGCCAATCCAAAAACTGGGTTGGACATCAAATTCAACGAATTCGCGCCTCCTATCATTTTATCAGTTGGCACTTATTCTCCATGGAACTCTCAAAACACATTATTCCATAAATCTGCATTTCACACTTTGTTTTTACCAACAACAGTATCTTTCAGGTATTGAAATTTTTGGAATTCCAATAATAGGTTTTTCCAGAACCACCGACATTTGGCGATCATTTATCTCTCAAAAAATTTTACACTTATCCGGTCTTACTGTATCCTTTGTGCCAACCAACGCAGTACAATTTAGAAATGCTCATGATTATTTGAAGGATTTTAAAGATGAGAAATCGGTTTATGAGGATTCTGGAAGATTTTTGGAATTTCTACATTCTTGGAATTGTAAAAATGGACCAGTTTTGGAGAATTGTATGAATCAATTGGCAGAAGATTTAGTGGAAAATAATTTTTGGAGAAACGAAGATGCGAAATTGATGATGATGTTTTTGAGCGATTTGAAATTGTTGGGGTGAGTTTTTTTTTGAAATTTTTAGAAAACCAGTCGGTTCACGCCCCTGCCGGGGGTTCAACGTTCTGGCTTCTGCTTACTGTAACTTACAATCGAATTTCTACTTTCAAAATTTCCGAAATTGGCACCAAAATTTCTGAAAATTTCGCATGCTTATCAATTTTCTACGCTGCATATCTGATTTCCCAATCTCTCGAAATTTCCAAACTACTGAAAACTGATTTTTTTAGGTTCTGAAATCAGGAGTATGCGAATTCCCGGTTTCCCGAAATTTCACATTTCGGATCATTAAATTTCAGGATTACTGAAGTTTCTGGTTCGCAAAAGTCCTGAAAGTCCCGAATCCCAAAAATTCTGAGTTTTGAAAAACAGAAAAGTTCCGAGAAGCGGAAACTCAGAGACCTAAAAATTTAGAGATTCTAACCAGACAGCCACTGCTCTCCGAAAAATTTGAGAACCTAGAAAATTGGAAATTCAGAAGTTCAATTTTTTGAAAAGAACACAATTTCGTTGAAAAGTTTTTGGAGCCGGAAATGAAGAAGTTTCGAAAGCTTAGAACTGCAAACTCCCGAATTCGGAAAACTGAACAGTTGGAAAATCAGAAATTCTGATTTTTTTTTCGCAAATTCGGTTAATAAGATCTTAGAAATGTATTTATTCCAAAATTTAAAAATTCAGAAATTAAGTTTGGAAATTCTTAAAATTTGAAATCCTGAAAATTCGACTGGTCCAGAAAGCGCGAACTTATTTTTGATGCATTCTCTTTTTTCGCACTGTTTCAGAATTTTTTCTCCTTCAAATCTTGAAAACCCAGACTGAAATAACATTTCCTCAAAATCACCTTTCTCGCCGAAATAACGTGGATGAGGGAAAAAAGTTGGGTGGTTAGACGGGGACGGCGTGAATATTCTTTCAATAATTTTCTAAAGATTTATACTGTAGAAATAGAAGAACGTCTCCAGAAGACGTCAGAAATCAAATTTCGAAGCAATGAGAGATCGGGCATAATCTCGCTGCTATTTCGGATTATCTGTGAAAATTGGGAAAATTTTGGTCCATTATTGACTTCGCTAGGTTAGGTGATACGGGAACAAACGGACACACTCTGACACAGAATTTGGTGATTGTTAATACTAAAGATAATATTTTTTTTCTTCAGATTTGAGTTTCCTGAAATTCTCAAAGGAGAATATGTAGAACCATATTTGGCATCTGCAAATGAGACGGAGAGAAATGTGAATTGCAGAAGGATGAATTTGGAATTTGAATTAGTAGATCCACGAAATTATGAACAACAGGTGAGTTTTGGAATTTTTGGAATTCTGAGATTCATACTGTAGATACGCATATTCTAAAATTTTGACATCATGAAACGTGAGATCAGGAAACTTGAAATTCTGAAACTTTTGAAAATCTGAAAATCTGAGATTCTCAAATTCTCAAATTTTGAGAATTGGAATTTCGAAATTTTCGAAATTTCGATACTTTTTGTAATTTCGAAATCTTTTTTCGAATATTCTCCATCTTCAGAATCTCCAAAAAGCCGGACAAAAGCTTCAATACATTGGAGATCTCGTCGATTGGTGCAAGGAAACTGGCTATTCCGGTAATAAACAAAACTTTTGTGATATTTATTTTTAAAAATATTCCAGACCTCCTAAAAACGTTTCCATCAGCTCAACAACTTTCAAGACAGCATGAAAAAAGTGATACTCTGCAGAAACATTCAAAAAGTGTAAGCTTAACTTGTAAAAACTCTCATAAATGAGAAAATTATATTAGCTTTTAAAAACCTCCTGACTTTGAAAATTGAACGTACTTTTAGGAATTTGAGAACATTATTTTGCGAAAATACCTTTATCTAAATAAAATTTAAATTTTGAAACGATCGAAAAATATTGAAAATTTATCCAAAATATCAATTTTCAGGTCCTAGTAGTGGTCAATAACTATCCCTGGAATTACGGTCATGGAATAATTCAAAGATTATATCAACCATATTTTGCGGCTGTCGTTTTTTGTGGGTCCTGGTATCCGGACCAAGTTAAGGACCACGATAATTACACCTCAACCATCCAACCTTTCAATTTTATACACATGAATCCGACGGAAATGCGAAAGGGATATTCGGCATACCACTGTTTAACTTTGGCTAAAGAAATGGGATTAGCTAATGTGCAGGGCTATTTTTTGATGGCAGATGATGCTATTTTTAACATTTGGCAAGAAATCGATTTCTCTACAGTACACCATTCAACTGGTGTTGTTTTAGATGAATCGGACCTTTTTTGGGATTTGGATGTTGGTAAGATTTTTTTGAGATTTTCGAAAATTACAATTTTTTTTTGAGTTTTTCGAATTTTTCGAATTTTTCGAAACCTTGATTTAGTTGATTTGTTATGCAATGTTTCACCTATCAGAAATGTTGCACAAAAATTCATTTTCAGGCATTTTCGCCAGCCGAAATGTCGTCAAAACTTTTGAAACCTCCAAAAGTCCAGGAATTCAAAACGCATGGAAACAATTTCAAAACGGATTGGAAATTAATGGAAATAAAAAATTGGCAAAACAAGAAATGACATCAGGCAAAGGGAGGACCTATTCAGATTTGTGAGAAATTTTCAGATTTTTTTTTTAATTCTTGTTGTGAAAGTTTCAGTTTCTACATACCAAATTCCGAGTCGGAGTACTATGCGACACTAATGAGGGTATTTTTCGAAAACGGGTTGTATTTGGAAATCGCGGTTGATAAATTTATGAAGTCGGTGAAAACCCAAGAGTGAGTTTTATTGAATACTCGAGGAAAAATTGCTTAAAATAGTTTATAATGAGCAATAATTATTCACAGCGACCTAAATAAGTACAAGAGGCTAATACTGGGTGTTTTGAAAAGCTTAATTGAAAAACAAAATTATTTTTTATATTTAGATCTCCCAAAACCGTATATATTTGGAATGATGATCGTGAAAAATGGGACGAAAAGTATTCAAAAACGATGATTGGATTTCATCCAGTTAAATTAAGTCAATTCCAGCAACCAGGAAAAAATCGGACGAGGTGAAACATGTTCTTTTCGAAAAAAAATTGTTTAATAAGAAATTTTTCCAGATACTGCCGCTCAATTTTACAAATTTGGGCTGATGTAATGTTCAGTGGATCTCAAAATTTGAGAATTCTTTGAAATAAATTGTTTTTTAAAAATCCAAAATCGCCATATTTTCCAAGAAAAAAACGGTCAACCACAAAAACTATAAAAAAACAACTACAATAAATTTTTGACGAATAATCAGAAATGCGAAATTTGTAGACAGAAATTTGACTATTTATTCCGCTCGACTTCAGACATTTTGGTTCATTCATTCCTTCTCATTCCGATTCATAATCTGACTTTCTCATAGATTTTTACTTCCTTAAAGATGGAAATTTCGTCTCGACAAATTTTGGGATTCTTTTTTGGAATTCTATCAGGAACCAGCCTATTCTTAAACATTATAACATTGCTTACAGTTTTTCGTTTAGCATTTGTGCTTCGAAAAAATCATGTGTTTATTATCGCATTTTTCAATATTTTGTCGGATACTCTACAAATGTTTGTGGCCACTTTTTATCTGGCTCCAAGTATTATATTGAATGTAAGTGTTTGAAAACTCAGCAAAAAAATCATAAATTTCTGCAATCTCAAATAATCATAAATAAATGATCATCCTGAAATATAAGCTCAAAAACCAGAGAATTCACATTTTTCGTGTTTAATTTTTCTTTTTTTTCGGTACAGGTTTTCGGATCGGTACGGGTATCCAGTACGATGAAATCCGTTAAAATAACTAGAAATGTCAAAAATTCTGAAAAAGACGGAAAATATAAAAACCAGGTCAAATTTAACAATCTCCAATTCGATTTTTTCAGTCATTCCTTATCAGTGACACCAAAAAGAACACTTGGACCCTCCTGCTGAGTTCCATGTTTCTTTTTCTATGGTACTTTGAATCCATTCTTCAAATTGTTATGGCACTAAACAGGTATGAGTCTTAGAATCTTAAAATTTCAGAATCTCAAAGTCCCCGAATATTTGAAATATCAATTTCCAAAAACTCCAACAAAAAAATCAGTTTTCTTCCACAATTTACGTAATTTCCAAGAAAAGCGAATTTCTGAATTTTTGGAATTTTTGATTTCCAAAAGTTAAGGTCGGACAAAAATAATAAAATCACTTTTAATTCGTATTTTTTTAATCTTCCAGATACATTGTGATTTGTCTAAACATGCAAAAAGTGTTCACATTCTTCTCCACAAGCCTGCTTTTTGTTTTTCTGATCCCCTTCTGTTTTCTGCTCATGTCCTGTTCTCAGTATTTGAGTCCGTGCTGTTCGTAAGTGCAAAAAATATATAATGCGTCATGAAAACAAATGCACTTGATTTTCAGATTCATGTACGATCAGGAATACCTGTCGTACTCGTACTTATCAAATGGGACCATCCCAAATTATTCGAACACTTTTGTTGATTTACCATTAAATACAAGTAGTTCAGTGATCTCGATAATATGCTATGTTTTGGTGGGAACTAGAGTAACGTGTTGACAGAGACTCGTGTCGATTAAATGAAAAAATAACTGAAAAATCGTTTCGACACGAGTAGACATTTGTCGACAAAAAGCGACAAATGTCGAGACGAGTCGACACGACACCGGCCTAACTTTATGATGGCCAAACTGTTGCAAGTTGCATTTTCTAGGCCACCAAAGTTTACGACTTTGGAATGGTTTATCATTATCCCGGTGTGATTTCTAGGCCATTTAACATTGTGGCCTAGAAAACTCAACTTATAAAAGTTAGGCCACGGTGTTAAAATGACCTTGAAAACACATTAGATGAAAATGATACCATTTATAGCAGAGATGTTCGGAATTCGGACTCGGGATTCCGCGAATTTTTTCGTTTTTCGTATTCCGGGAAATTACTGTCATTCCGGATTCCGTATTCTATGAAATTTTCATTTGTCCGTATTCCGGATTCCGAGAAAATTAGTTTATACCGGATTCCGTCTCTCAAAAAAGTAATTCCGGACATCTATGATTTGAAGGCATAAAAAGTTTCGCGTCCTAGAAAATTTATTTTGAGAAAATTAGGTCACCATATAGTTAGGCCGGTGTCGTGTCGACTTTGGTCGACTCCTTAAAAACGACATTTCGACTCAAAATCGCTCGACGACCGTGTCGACACGTTACTCTAGTGGGAAATTGAGATTTTGAAATTCGAATTTTTTTTGAAAATTTAGATCTTCTGGAAAATACACCACTACTCACCAGCTACTGTGTCAGTTGGAGGTGGAAGACAGAAAGTTCGGAGAAATCGGGATATTAGGTCAAAATGGAGAAATTTAGACATTTCTGGATTTCTAAAATTTTTTCCAGATGCGCTATTCAATTTAGTCTCCTTTTGGCTTTCTACACATTTGCCTGGGTCCTTTTTCGAGTTCTCCCAATTATTTTAGCCACAAAAGATGTCGAATGGTTCATTTCGGTACCAACACTGTACACACTGAATTGCACATCAAATGCAATTATTTATATATGTTTCAACGGAGAGGTACTTCTTCGTTTTTAAGATTCTGAGATTCTGAATGTTCTGAGATTTTCAGAATCATTGAAATGCTAAAGTTTTGAAATTCTAAAAGTCTAAAATTCTAAAATTCTGTAATTCTGAAATTCTGAAGTTCTTGTTCTAGGTCCAGGAAAATCTGATTCCCTACAAACTACACAAAATTCTGGAACTCTTCCATTTGGTCCGTTCTCCTACTCCGAAAGTCAACCAATCATTGGCCACTCTACCCGAAAATGCTAGAACAACTACAGTACAAAATTCAAATACTCCCGTTAGATACATACCGGCTAGAAGTCATCAACCATTCCGAACAATTCGATTGAATAATCAAAATTCAAATTAATTTTTTTGAGTTTAATAAAGTTCATAACATTTCCTGAGATTTTTGGCTTTGTTTCTAACCAATAGTAAGATTTCTCCCAGGCCCCAGGCCCAGGCCCCCAGACCCAGGCCCCCAGGCCCCCAGGCCCAGGCCCCTAGACCCAGGCCCCCAGGCCCCCAGGCCCCCAGGCCCCCAGGCCCCCAGGCCCCCAGGCCCCCAGGCCCCCAGGCCCCCAGGCCCCAAGGCCCAGGCCCCAAGGCCCAGGCCCCAAGGCCCAGGCCCCAAGGCCCAGGCCCAGGCCCCTTGGCTCAAGCCGGAGCTCCTTCTCGGGTCCCCTATCTGGAGCCTCGAGAAGACGAGAACTGATCTTTCTCTCCACTTACCTCTTCTTTTATAGTATTCATCCCGAGGTCAGGGTTTCTAAACCAATTCACGTGGGTTTTTATCTCAAATTGATTTTTTAAACCTCTTTTTTGTACGTTGAATTATTTTTTCCAAAAAAGTTGTTTTATCACTTTAAAAAAAAATAAATTTTCACTTTTGAAATGTGTTAAACTCCTTCAAAAGGTAGCTCAAACATTTTTGCCTTTAAAATTGTTGAATATCTTGTACAGTAACCGAGATATGGTTAAAGTTGCTCGAAGTTTGGTCGACAAACTGGTTAAAGTTGCAAAATGACGGATGGAAAAACCGAAAATTGGCCCATGTTTTTTACAAAATAATTTTTAAAATCCGATGATTGCACTAGTAATTTTTTGGAAGTGGGAAATATGAGAAAATCATGTTTTCCGACTTTCAGATTTTCAGAGAAGTGTTTTTATTATTCAAAACTTGATGTGTGATCAGTAACTATCCCAAAAGGATTGCTCAGACAATAACAGTCTAGTTTTCAGAATTCCCAAAGTTTTCATTATCTTTTTGTTTTAAACGTTAGTCTATTCCTAAAAAACTACGAAAAAATGCTCCTCAAATTCTACCTCGGATCCATTTTTCTGTTTTTTGTAATCCTCGTCATTTCTCTAAATTTTATCATATTTCGACCGGTTTTTCGTTTGGCATTCGTTTCCAAAAAAAGCACAGTTTATATTATTGCGTTTTTCAATATTATATCGGATCTGTTGCAACTTTTTTTACTAATTTATTTGACTAGTTCGATGATAGTTAATGTAAAATTTCGACCAATTTCGAAAATTGGGAAAAAAATAGTTTTAGGATTATTTATTTAGCGGCGGCCAACAGAGTGTTTTGGATGTGATTATTGGTGGATTATTCATAAATTCTTGGTATATGGAATGTTTTGTACAAATTGTGATGGCGTTGAATCGGTAGCAATTTCAGTATTTCAGATAATCGGCTTTTTAGAATCTCAGAATCTCAGAATCTCAGAATCTCAGGATCTCAGAATCTCAGAATCTCAGAACCTTAGAATCACAGAAATTCGGAAATTCGGAAATTCGGAATCTTAGTATTTCGGACTTTCAGTATTCCTAGAATCTCAGATTTCAGAATTTCAAATCTTCGGAATTCCAAAATTAGAGAATATCGGAATCTTAGAATCTCGGTGTTTCAGAATCTCAAACACTCGAAATTCCAGAATCATGAAATATCAAAATCTCAAAATCTTGAAAATCACAGTTTTTGAAATTTCAGATTCACCGTAATCACTCTCAACAAAAATCAAATTTTCACCTTTAAAACCACTCTTATTTTATTTTTCTTCATCATTCTCACCACAATTTTTTCGGCCATCTGCAATCAAATCATTTTTCCCTGCTGCATGTAATTTTTTTTTTCAAATTTTGCCATTATTTTTAGGAAAACAGTCATTTTTGAAACCCTAAAAAAGAAGTCCAGAATTTTTCGATTTGCCTGAAAATTTCAGTAAAAATAAACAAAACAGAATTAGAGTTTCAATTTTGTAGCTGACTACTTTTCAAAAAATATGACTCTACTTCCACGTGGCATACCTCCTCAGGACCAAACTTTATGGAAAAGTTGTCAACTACAAACATGAAGCTCTGTTTATGTTTGACAGAGCTTCATGTTTGATATACTCTGAAATTTGCAAACAAATTCAAAAAGGTTGAATTTATGAAACCGGGTGCCCACTTGAGCCGCCATTGAGCCGTTTTCAAGCCGTCACCCTTTCAAAATGGGCAGCGCGTCTTGAGAGTAGGTCACTTCTACGTGGCATATTTCAGGCGGTCCAAACTTTGTAATATAGTTGTCAATTACAAAGCTCTATTTTTGATTATTACATTCTGAAATTTTCAGACAAATCGAAAATTCTGGAAAGATTTTCTCAGGGCTCCAAAATTGACTTTTACCATCAAAAAACTATTATTGTGTTCTTTAGTGCAATGTAGTCAACGATATACTGTAGTGCAATGTTTCAGGATGGTCCTCGATCACAACTACATGTCAATGTTGTTTCTACCGAATAAAAATTCGTATTCCTATTCGAATTTGATGAATTTCACATACAACTTTTCCGCATGCTCAATTTCCATTTTCTGCTATTCAGCCATTTTTGTAACAATACGAAGGGCACCAAAAAATCAAAATGTTGCTAAAAATAAGCAAGATTTGAGGTGAAAGATTTTGGAATTTTTGCTTTTTTTTCAAAGGATTTTTGGGATTTTTTTTTAATTCAAAGATTCAGATTTTTTTTGCACATTTGTTTAAGATTTCAAATTTCCTAGAACTTCTGGTTTTTTTTTTTAAATTTTGAAAGTTTCGAAAAAAAAGTTTTTCAGATACCTCCTCCAATTTGTTATTATCTCCATATTCTATACTTTGGCGTTTATACTTTTCGAAATTCTTCCAGTCGTAGTACCTGAAGGACAGATTCAATGGTATGCACTTGTTCCAAGTATGGTTATACTTAATTGCTCATCTAATTCAATTATCTATTTATGTCTAAATCGAGATGTGCGAAATGAGCTAAATGTGAAATGTTTTCTTAATGGAAATGTTCAAGTGATTCATGTTTCAAGTCAGGTGAAACAGGGTTCTCAAGCTAATGTTTTAATTATTAATTAATTGATTTTAATTAGCTGTTTGTGATAATCTTTTGAGTTTTGTAATAAATAATTTTAAAAACATATTAATTAATTTTTTCGGATAAGTACCCCGTATTTCCCCAAAAAAATGTTTTATCAATTTTCCTCTTCCAACTCAGGGCAAATAATTCGAGGGTACAAGGGGGTACAACGTGATTAGGGGTACAAAACCAACAATTTAGGGGTACAAACTAAGCCTTTTTCCCGGTATTTTGTACCCCCGAATCGAAGATTTTGTACCCCTAAATTGCTTTGTACCCCTTTGTACCCCCGAATTGTTGTACCCTCCGAATTATATGCCTGACGTTTTGATGGGCAAGTTGCGAAATATTACATGAGAACTCAATCATAAAAGGTTTTATCAGTTCCTATCAGTGAAGTTCATTCTTATCTAGACCGTCAGAAATTGTTCGATTGTAAACATTTTATTGGAAATTTTTCTTCGAAACATTGAAATTTTCTGGAAAAATCGAGCAAAAATCCAGAGAAATCTATGCTAAATGTAAGAAACCTAGAGTTTTGTTGCTGTTGTCCTTTTTCTTGAATTTATATATGCATTTGTGAAAATCTGAAAATTTTAGGTTGACACTGAAAATTTGAAGACCTCCAGAAAAAAAATCCAGATTTTCGGGTTTTCCGCTTCAATTTTTTGAATTTCTCGGAATTTGAAAGCAAATTTCATACAATTTTGAAGCCAAAATTCTAAAAATTCGCCATAAACTTGCTTCTTTCCGTTCGAAAAATTTCGAAAACCTGCAAAATCGAAAATTCTTCGAAAAAAAAATACAGTGAGAATTTCATTTCGCTGTGAGACTTGGACGATCCGCGCGGTAACCGGAAATTTTTGAATTTTCAAAACATGTTTTCTGATTTTTCTCCACTTTTTTTACCTCATTTGCCCGTTTACTCATAGGATTTTTTTCTGTATATTTTTACCTAAATTCTTTCAATTTTTTTCTAGTTCTTCAAGAGTTTTCCGCTCCCACAAAAGTTGCTTCGCGCTTTTGCCGTTTTTACAGTCAGCGCCAGTAAACTCCCGACACCTTGGAGACAATAAGAGACGCAGAGAACAGGTACAAATGGGCTGCGAGTGAAACAGTGTCGAATTCGAAGAGACGCAGAGAACGGTCGTCGTGGGGACGCTGCCACGAAGTGTTGCTAATTGTAAACACTCTGCGCTCTCTTCTCTCTCACATGTTTACTCAGTCTTCGTGGTTTTTGAACCAGTGTTCGTCAATTGAGTTGTTTCAAATTTTAGCCCAGAATTTAATCATAAAAATTCCTCTTTTATTCTGAAATTCTGGGGTATTCCTTTTCAAAAGTTCCTTCTTGCTAGAAAAAACTGTTTTTCGATCATAATTTTCCTGAAATTCCCCCAAAACTCAAACAAATTTTGAGTTTCCATAATCTGTTTTTTGTTCTTGAAAAATACAGATTTTCTTTTTTTTTTTCTATTGTCGAATTAAAAAAAGTGGGACCTGGAAAAATTCGCGGGCGACTTCCCGGTCAATTTTTGAGGCCTTGCCCAAAAACACTACGGTAGTAAACGAAACTTATTTCTGTGAATTCAGTGGGATTTCCGGGCAAAATGTAGATTTTTTGGTATGAAAACGCTAGCATCTCTAGAATCTGGTTTTCATCGAAAAACCGAACTTAATCACGAAAATAGCTTGAACGAGGCGAAAATCTGAAATATTACGTTTTTGCCGCACTTTTTCGTAGATCAAAAAAAGCTACGCCTTTCAAATTCTCAGGTCCCACTTGGGTTCAGGCGAGGGGGTCAGAAAAAGCGCCCCAGCAAACTCATAGGCCAGAAGAAATTTAATAATTTTAAAATGAACGCGGGATTGAACTAGATCATGATCTATTACTTAAAAATCAACGGGTTGCAACGCGCGTATTCTCGCTCATCGTTTAAAACTGGTACTCAGCCAACGAAGTTCGGCAGAGAATTGAGAATTTTTGAAAAATTTACTGGGGCGCGCTTTCTGAACCCCTCGCTTGAACCCAAGTGAGGACCCACTTTTTTTAATTCGACAATACTGTCTATTCAATAAAACGTGGGCGCGCCGCAGGTTGCAAAGTGACACGCCCCTTTTTGTGACGCGTTCACTTTTCTCTCTTCTCACGCGTTTCGTAAAGGGGCGTGTCACTTTGCAAGCTGCGGCGCGCCCACGTTTTATTGAATAGACAGTATCTAAAAATTCCCTTTTCAGCAAAAAAAAAATGAAAAATTGACTCAAAAAATTAGAAATCTACAGTAAGAATTTTGTTTCGTTGCGAAACCCGAAGCGAAATTCTCGACATGCTCCTTTGAAAATTTCTCGCGGGAAACAAGAATATTTGAATTTCCATGATTTTTCTCGATTTTTTCGCTCTGAAACAAAGATTTTCGTGTTTTTTTTTTCGACCTAAAAATACAAATTAACCCAAAAATTATTTATTTTTCAGAATTTGTACTAGAATTTTGTTTTCGCTGCGAAACCCGAGGCGAAATTTTCAACATGTTCCTTGAAAATTGCGCGCGGAAAGCAAGAAAATTTGAATTTTTACCGATTTTTCTCGACTTTGCTCAAGTGTCTCGTACTCGTTCCCCTGAACGTTTAGGCTAAATTTCAAATTTTTTCAGAGCTCGAGATGGATCAAGCAGCCCAAGCAATGGCGAACGCCAACATTGCTGGCGATCAGCCAGCTCGTCAGCGACACGGTCTTCGCCCTCTGGCTCCGAAGATCGGGAAGAATCCGTCCGGACAGACTGTGGAGCTCATCTCCAATATGGCCAAGCTCTGTAAGTCGATAACTAGAAATATCGATTTTTATTGATTTTTTTCAGCGACCGCCGCCAACACCCCGATCTACAAATACGATGTGAACATCGTCGTCGTCTATAAAAATCAAGACGGCGCGGAGGTCTCGATTGAGAAGTCCAAGTCCACTAAGTCGGGCACGGCTCATGATGTGGACAAAACCCTCTGTCGCACTATCTTCGACATGGCTATGAAGAAATTGGCCGGATTCAACGGGCAGAATTCCTTCTACGACCTCCAAGCCTCCATGTACACATTGAAGAAGATTCCCATGGAGGTTAGTATCTTTTTAGTAGCTCAAAATGAGAAAAATCCGCAAAAACCGACAATTTTTGATCCTAAAACTCAAAATTTTCAGTCCGACTTCTCGGTCACGCTCACGACCGGAGTCTCTACGGCGCCAAACTTCATCCGGGCCGTATTCACTTTGAAGGCCGTCGCCACCACCTACCAGGCCTCGACAAACGATCTGAGGCGAACTGCCACGTCGGCACCTGCTCTGGCCGACAAATCGATTTTGGAAGCGCTGAGTCTCTTCATCTCAGGACCAGCATTAGCCAAGTAAGTGGTTTTGAGCAGTCTTTTCGAAAAAAATGGCATTTTTCTCGTTTTTTGGGCCATTTTGAAGTGGTGGCCAAACTTTTGCAACTTGAGTGTTCTAGGCCACTATTGTTAAAATGGCCTAAAACTGGCCCGAACTGCCCCTAGGGGTGTTCTCGGCAATTTTACCATGGTGGCCTAGAAAACTAAACTTGCTTAAGTTAGGTCATCACTTTAAAATGATCTAGACAACCTTCCAGGGGCATGTCAGGCCATTTCTAGATTATTTTAAAGTGATGGCCTAACTTTTGCAAATTGGGGTTTCTTAGGCCACCGATGTAAAATATCCTCGAAATGCTCTGACATATTCCTGGTGTGTTTTCTAGGACATTATAATATGGTGGCCTAGAAATAATCAACTTACAAAAGTTAGGTCATACGAGCTAGCTAACATCGCTAGCTACTACTATAATATTTTTTCCTTTCAGCCCAAAAGTCATCACCGTTGGAAACTGCGTGCACTACTACGATGGTACTATGAGGTGAGTTTTCCTTTTTATTTTGCACAATTCTGTCGGCGGTCGGCCGATTTTCGACCGACCAAGATTGAAGTGGATTGTCTAAAGTTTCATAAATTTGCAGAGGCTTCACACCAAGAGACTATCCCGAAGGAGGGACGTTCAGTGCGCTGGGAGTGTCCAAAGGAGTCAAGATGGTTGAAGGAGGTGTTATGATGAACACCGAAATGAAGGTTACCCTCTTCCATCCGGACAACGAGCCTCTCATCAACGTTATGAAGACGTTGAAAGGCTTCTCACCGAATCTGGGACTTTCCTCTCAAGAAGGAATTAATGCCGCCAAAGCTCTGAAGGGATTGGAGTTTTTCTGCAACTACGGAGACTTGAAGGACAAGGGAAACGAGCGACGCATCGTGAAGGCGTTGGATTTTGGAGGAAGTGCTCGCTCGACGACCTTCCTGGTTGATAATGAGCCAACCAGTGTGGAGGCCTACTTCCAGAACAAGTACAAGGAGCGTCTTGCGTTCCCAAATTTGATGACAGTGATTGTGAAGGGAAGGAACGGATCCAGAGTCAATATCCCTGCTGAGCTCCTCGATTTTTGCCCCAATCAGAAGGTCACGAATGAGCGAATGACGGTGAAGAATCAGCAGGCAGAGCTCATCAAGGATGCTGCAGCGGCGCCTGAAAAGCGAATGCAATACACTCAGACTGCTGCCAACGCTGTTGGAATCCACTCGAAGAATGTGATGAACTTCATCAAAGTCGAGGAGCCAACCACGTTGAAGGGAATCGTCCTTAACAAGCCAACAATCAAGTTCTCGACCCCAAATCCTGTTGCTTTCGACGCCAGAGTCCCGACGGATTTCAAGATTAATGGAAAATTCGTCATGCCGGCGAAGATGGACAATTGGGAGGTGGTCTTCATGAGAAACGAAGAAGTTCGGTGAGTTTTGGTCGGACTTTCAAAATGTATAAAAACCCAAAAAATTTCAGTGACTTCACGAAGCGCATTAGCCAAGCCATGGGTCAGTGTGGAATGGCGGTGCAGCCACCAGTCGTCTCCTTCATCAACAGTGGCGGAGATCTTCCAGTGAGTTTCTGAAGCTTTCTTGGTAGAAATGGTCGTTTTTCAAAACGACCTTGACAACGTGGTGGCCAAGGGGTGGGAGAGGACGGGAGAAAAACCTTCACGTTTTGCAAATTTTCCGCTCTTGTTGTGCCATTCGAGATTAAAGGCGCACGCAATTTCGCCGACGGGTCTCGACACGAAGCTGGCGGTTAATTTGAAATTCGATTTATTTTTCAACTACGCGCCGCCGGGTAGTCATTCTTCGTAGCGGCCGACACTTTCCGGGTTCCGCCGTCCACTATACCTTGTGTGTGCCAAGGCTCCGCACACTTTTTTCGCGAAATTCGTGTGTTTTGCATTTCGTTTCCCACGAAAGCCGATTGCTCGCCCAGCCCTGTGGTGGCCTAAGAAGCTCCACATGCAAAAATTAGGCCACCATTCCCAAACGATCTAGAGAATAGAAAAGGTGAAAAGCAGACCTAGTCTAGGCCATTTTTACGTAATGGCCTAGCTTTTGCAAGTTCAGTTTTCTAGGCCACCACGTTGAAAAGGTCTAGAAATAGCCTAAAATGTCCCTAAAGTGTTTTCTAGGCTATTTTACCATTGTTGCCTAGAAAACCGAACTTGTAAAAGTTAGGCCACAACTCCAAAACGACCTAGAAAACACACCATGTAGCAGACCGATTCTAGGTCATTTTGAATTGATGACCTAAATTCTGCAAGTCGAGTTTTCTAGGCCATCACATTAAAACATACTTGCAAAAATCGTTTAAGGCCCGGGCCTTGAAACTTTTTGAAGGCCCGGAGAGGAATTTTTTGGTCAAAATTTCACAAAAAAAATTTTTAACAAAAAACTAGTTTTTGAGAGAAAAATGTTATTTTTCTCCAAAAATGCAATTTTCAGTCCGATCCCACCTCCGGAAAAAAGTCAGCAAAAAAGTATTTTTTTTTTTAATTTTAGTTTAAGCATTGAACATTCAATATTTACAATCCAGCTTGAAATTAGATGCTATACACAACGTTTTTCCAAAAAAAAAAGAGCTGTTGCAAGTATGTATTAAAATGGCCTAGAAATAGCCTAAAATGTCCCTAAAGTGTTTTCTAGGCTATTTTACCATTGTTGCCTAGAAAACCGAACTTGCAAAAGTTAGGCCATCACTTCGAAATGACCAAAAAAGGAGAAAAATGTCAAGGAAATTTTTAAATCCCCAAATCTTCCAGAATCTCTTCGAAAAGGCCAGATCGTCGAAGCGCCAGCTCCTCATGTTCGTCTTCAGAAGAAGCGTCCCGCTCCACGCCCAAATCAAGTCGCTCGAGCAGAAATTTGATATTCTGACTCAGGAGATCACTCTGGAGACCGCCGAGAAGATCTTCCGTCAGCCACAGACTCTCCAGAACATTGTCAACAAGGTTAGAATTTTAGAAATAATTGTAATTTTCAAAAATTCATAATTTTTCAGACCAATATGAAGCTCGGCGGTTTGAACTACCGAATCGATTCTACTGTCTTGAACCCCAACATTTTGTTCATCGGATTCGAGACGTCGTCAAAAGGAGGAGCTGGAGACGTAGGGATAATAAATCTGAAATTTGTAATTAAATAATCGATTTCAGGGACCAGTATCGATTGGATTCGCCGCCAACATGATGCAAAATCACCAGCAGTTTGCTGGCGGCTACATCTACGCTCCACAGGCCCGAGATGTAGGGAAAAATCAATATTTTCAGATTTTCCAACAAAAAGTCAATATTTTTAGACCTATGGATCTGTGGTCGGCCCAGTGCTCAAACAAATTCTCGGAGTCGTCAGACGCAACCGCAAGGATCCACCACAAGAGATCATCATGTACTTCAATGGAGTCACCGAGGGACAGTATGGACTCGTAAGTGATGAGCAATCATGAGAGAATAAGAAATTTGAATTTACAGATCAACGAAGTCTACTCCGAGGAGATCAAGAAGACCATTATGGCCATCAAGGCAGACTGGAGACCAAGGCTGATGATCATCGCCACGTCGAAGGCACACAACGAGAGATTCTACCAGCTCGAGGTAATTTTTGAGCTCAAAATCGCAGTTTTACCGACTGTTTTGATTCGGAAAATGACCACTTTTAGCCTGAAAATTCCGCTTGACTTTAAGAATGAGCAATCCCTAGCCGTGTAAGATTTCAATGTAAAAAAGAGAGACAGTGTTTTTCTGGGCCACCAAGTTTTATGACCTTGGAATGACCAAATGTGGCGTTTTCTAGGCCATTTTAACTAAGTGGCCTAACTTTTTCAAGTTTAGTTTTCTAGGCCATCATGGTAAATGACCGAGAATTGGTCTGATATTCACTGTGTGTTTACAGTGTCATAACTTGGTGTCCTAGAAGATCCAATTTGCAAAAGTTAGGCCACCATTTCAAAATCAAAGCTTTAGGTTATTTTTTCAAGATAAGAAAACACACCATGCGCTTTTCTGAGCGATTTTCAGGCTCAAAATTGCCGTTTTGATAGCTGTTTTGATTCGGAAAATGATCATTTCTAGTCTGAAAAATCTGAAAATACTGAAATTCCGTTTTAAAACAATCAGTTTTGGCTCGGAAATTGACCATTTTCTGTCTGAAAATGCTGATTTAAACAATGAGCATTACAAACTGAAAATTTCGAATTTTCCAGAAGAACAAGGCTGTCTCCAACTTGGCACCAGGAACCGTGATCGACCACACCGTAGTCTCGCCAGTCTTCTCGGAATTCTACCTGGCTTCCGCCGTCGCTCGTCAAGGAACCGCCAAGGCCACTAAGTACACCATCATTTTCGCGACGAACCCAGAAGCAAATCTGGCCAGAATCGAGGTGATTTTTTTGAGTATCCGAAAAATTCATAAATTCAATTTTCCAGACCATTACCAATGATCTGTGCTTCGATCATCAGATCGTGTTCCAGCCAGTGAGCCTTCCAGTGCCACTGTTCATTGCTGGTCGATGCAGTCAGAGAGGAGCCGCCGTGCTTGGATACAATGGGTAAGTTGGAAATTCCCAAATTTCAAAAAAATATCCCCGAAAAGAGTTTCCAGCTTCCGTCGAGGCGAGAACGGCAACGTCGACTACGACGCGATGAATGAGCAATACGGTTATTCGCAGAAGAATCTCTTCGGAAAGCGTTTCAACGCTTAGAAATCATCGTCGTTATTCATGAATCTCGACGTCTTCAAAGCAGTTAAATTTCTCTTTATCCCGCCTTTAACCCCACTCTATTGTTCCCGAAACCAATTCTGATTCTCGAATTCTCAAACCGTCCCAATTTTTTTAAAATACAGGTTCTTCAGAATCTCTTGCCCCTTGATTTTTACCGCCAGATTTTATCCAGATTCTTGGAATCTCATTTTCTCACACCCCGATATTTACCACCCAATCTGAAAATTTGTAAAAATCCAGAGACTGGAAATTCATTACATTTCTCACATTTACTTGTATGTCTGAAATTAAAATTCACCGTAAATTTTATTTTCATGTTCTTTTTTGGCACCTTGTAAACTTTCTGCACATTTTGACAAAATGAACGGATCATTGAGCAAGACATTGTGTTTTTTTAGTTTTTCGAAATTTCATTTTTTTTTCAGATAATGCAATTCCAAAAACTAAAAACATTTTTTTCCAAAAACTAAAAACAGGGCCCGTGCAAGGGAGGAGTTTTCTATTATAAACAACAAGAACCCCAAAGAACTCTGCCATTTCGTTAAATCTAGACTCCGTCCCCCGTACTGTCCCATTTCTCTCCTGGTCAATGGCACCTTATCCACAGACGCTTCTGAACTAGCCAACGAATTTTCTTCCGTCTTCCAAGAGGCCTTCTCGCCCCCAAGCCCTCCTTTCTCCGCCCTCCCTGCTATCGCTCCCTTTGCCGTCTGTCCTGATTTCTCTCCTCTAAATATTGCAAAGCACATCGGTTCTCTACCCTCGAAAGTCGGCTTCTCCCCGGATTTTATCAACTTCCTTGTAATCAAAAAGTGCAGTGATGCGATAACCATCCCTCTTTCGCTCATCTTCCAAGAATCCTTCTCCTCCGCCAAATTTCCTGAGATCTGGAAGCACTCGGTTGTTAGTCCATTATTCAAGAAGGGATCCAAATATGACGCTAATAACTACAGACCCATAACGCTCACTCATGCACTTTCCAGACTCTTCGAAAGATTAGTCCTTGAAGAGCTAAAACGTGTTATCCGTCCGAGTATTTCTCCGAATCAGTACGGATTCGTCAGTAAGCGATCCTGTGGCCTAGCCGTCCTTGAGTCCACTTCCAGAATACAGAAAACCTTAGCAAATAAGCAACAATTCGTAGATGTTACAGTGCTGGCCAAAAAGGTATTCGCAAACGATTTTTTGAGAGTAACTTTGCTGAAACTTAAGGGATCGATCTGAAAATTTTACTGTGCATGTCGTACACGGTGACGACAAATTGCGTACAAGGAAATTGCATCATTTTCAGAAATTTTTTGTTTTTTTCAATTTTTTCAATTTTTTCGTTTTTTCACTTTTTTCATATTTTTATATTTTTGGATATTATGGTTTCTAAGAATGTTGGTTTTGGCTCCTATGTATTTAAAACTGTTTACAGACATGGCCAGACCCCTCGGAAAAAAAAACATCTCTCAGGACATCCGTAAAGCCATCGTCATCGGCTTCAGAAGTGGATGTTCCAAGGACCTCTTGGCGCAGCAGTTCAATGTTACTAAACGTGCCATCGAGAAGATCTTGAAGCAGTTTCGGGTGAGGTAATATTCAAAAATAGTATAGTTATGGAAAAAAATGTTTAGGGAGCCTTGGTGGAGCGAAAATCGCCTGGAAGACCGCGTATCACGTCGAAGAACATGGATCGGAACATCGTCCGAGCTTCAAGAGAGGATCCCCAGAGGAGTTCTACGGACATTCAGATGGTCGTGAAGACTCCAAATGAAGTCACACCATCCCTGAGAACCGTCAGAAGACGTCTTCAAGATGCTGGACTCCATGGACGACGGCCAGCTAAGAAACCATCGATCAGCAAGAAGAACAGAATCGCCCGCGTAGCATGGGCCAGAGCTCATCTCCACTGGGGACGTCAGGATTGGGCTAATCACGTGTTCAGCGACGAATCCAAGTTCAATCTGTTCGGTACTGACGGTATCAAGTGGATTCGCCGTCCGGTTGGATGTCGGTTCGATCCCAGCTACCAGCTCCAAACCGTCAAGCATGGAGGTGGATCGGTGATGGTCTGGGGCTGCTTCTCTGGGACTTCAATCGGCCCGCTGAGAAGAATTACGGGCATCATGGATCGCTTTGTGTATGAAGACATCTTGGAGAACACAATGAGACCCTGGGCACGGTCTACTGTGGGCCGGGCGTTCGTTTTCCAACAGGATAACGACCCGAAGCACACCTCGAAGCACATCAAGGAGTGGTTCCGACGCCGCCACGTGGATCTTCTGTACTGGCCGAGTCAATCTCCGGACTTGAATCCGATCGAACACCTCTGGGAGCATGTCGAGAGACAGCTTAGAGGGATCCGTGCCTCGAATGCCAACCAGAAGTTCGACCAACTCCAAGATGTCTGGCAGGCCATCCCGATGTCTGTCATCGACACTTTTCTCGACTCGATGCCAAGAAGATGTCAGGCGGTAATCGACGCCAAAGCTTCCAACGAAGACTAAAGCTATTTTATTCATTTTCTATTGTTATTTTTCGTTTACCGGTCTATTCTAGATCTCAGAAGTCAAAGTTCCATTTACCGGTTTTTTGCAATTTTCATGAATTTTTCGATTTTTTTTCAATTTTTTGAAATTTTGACTATTCTTGTTGTTGAATCAGTTTCTTTTACCGTTTTAAACTTTGTCTTAAAATATCAGATTGATCCGGGAAGTTTCAGAAAAGTTATGCTCGAAAAACTATTTGCGAATACCTTTTTGGCCAGTACTGTATTTACTTTGATTTTCGCAAGGCATTCGACACTGTCCCACACAATCTCTTGCTGCTCAAAATGAGGCGAATAGGTATTGATGAACGATGCTGCGATTGGTTCGAGTCCTTTCTCAGCAACCGCTCATCCAACGTCAAGGTTAATGGCCTAATGTCAACCAGCGAGATTGTTGTCAAATCCGGAGTCCCCCAAGGAAGTGTCACTGGCCCCTTTTTTTTCTGATCTACATTAACGACTTACTCGGCCTCTTTCCTCCCAATGTTCATGTCACGGCGTTCGCCGACGACCTGAAAATAACCGGTTCCGACCCATTGGATATGCAGCGCATCGCTCATTCAAGGACCTAGGTATACTAGTTGATGATCAACTTCAATTCGACAAGCACATCAATCTTATTGCCTACGCTAAACTCAAGTCCCGCCAAATACTGAAAACGTTCCAATCGAAAAACCCTTGTTTATATGTCCGTCTCTTCGACACCTACATTAGACCGGTCCTCGAATACGGTTGTGAACTTTTCGATCCATCCAATGCCACACTTGCCAATAAACTAGAATCTCCTCTTCGTTTTTTCACCAGAAAAGTCTTTCAGAGATGTAATATGCCCTTCAATTCATACACCGATCGCCTATCCCAGTTCTCTATGCTAACCACCCTTCATCGCCGCACCCTTCTAGTTCTTCGTACCTATCACAAAATTGTTATAAACTCATACCATTTTCCCTCTATGTCGTCCTACATTCTTCCCAGCCATTCTAACAGAGCCCCGTATTTGTTCAAAATCAACGGTCAATACTTTGACTGCTTCCTTCACAGAAACTTGTCTATGTGGAACCGTGTATGTAAGGTGATAAATTCTAAGCTCAGTCCGGTGGCGTTTGCTAAGCGAGTAGGAGCGATTCCTTATGATATTCTGATCCCTCCCACTTGACCTACAGGACTCTAGTCGGTCCGTCTGGTCATTTTACTTTTTTATTTGTACAGGTCCCATTTCTTCCCAAATTATTATCTATCAATTTCCCCATGCATTGCAAATAAAATATATTATTTTTTTTTCGAAAATGGAAAAAATCAGTAAAATCTGAAAACTGGAAAAATGGAAAAAATTCCGAAAATGCTGAAAATTGGAAAAAATTCGGAAAATTCTGAAAAATCGAAAATTCCTAAGAGTTCGATAAAATTCTGAAAATTGACACAATTGCTGAAAATTCTGAAAATTCGGAAAAAAACTGTCAAAAATCGAGAATCTTCGAAATTTCAAAGAAATCTGAAAATTTTGAACATTGGAAAGAATTCTGAAAATTCTGAATATTGGAAAATAAATCCGAAAATTCTGAAAATTGGAGAAATGGCTGAAAATTCGGAAAGTTGGAAAAATCCAAAAAAAAAAGAAAAATTTTCGAAAAAAAAATGCAAAAAGTGAGAAATATTCCGAAAATTCGAAAAACCCTAAAAATTCATGAAGTTCTCAAAATTGAAGAAAATCCTGAAAATTCTGAAATTTTTTTGAAAATTCTGAAAATTGGGAAAAAACCCAGAATAATACAAATAAATTCATTTTTAGAATTGAAGGATTCAAAAAATAGGGTTTCAAATTTTTTGGATTCAGAAGTTTTTGTACCAGACTAATATTCCACGAACTCTTATGTACCCGATTTGTTTGTTTCTCCTGTTCGCCCACATATTGCAGAGTTTCGGGGAAGTAAGTTTACTCCAGAGAGATTCTAAACTGTCTATACGAAAAATGAAAACAATTTTTTTTTCATTTTATTCTAAAACATAAAATCATACAAACCAAAAGAGACTTGTTCGAAAAATGGTGTCCTTAAATCCCTTCAATTCGGCTGCGGATTTCTCGGAGCAATTTTGAACGCCATCCTAATCCTCCTTATCATTTTTGCTCTCCCGAAAATCTTGGCGCTTATAAATATTTTATGATCTACATCTCAGTTTTCGAGACGTTCTATTGCCTTCTGGACGCTGATGTTGAGCTCCACACATTTGCCTATGGACCAGCTTTTACGGTTTTTCGAAGTTCCAAAAATACGATGTCCGAAAAAGCCGATGGATTTTATAAACTTTCTGTCTGGTGTGGAACCTTCGGACTTTCGATCGCTTTTTTTCGCTGTGCACTTCATTTATCGGTACGGAGCTGCTGATTTGGCATTTCAAAAAAAGTATCTGGCTGGGAAGAAGCTGATTTTCCTATTTTTGGCTCCACTGGTTTATGGGATTTGGTGGACTGCGGTGGTTTTGACAATGTTTCAGCCTAGTCCAGAATCCGATGAGTTCATGAGGTGAGACTCATACTTGTAATCCGGGCCTTTGCCGGGCCTTAGCGGGCCCTGCCATAATTTATTTCAGAATCAATATTTTCGAACCAACTAAATTAGATATGATAGAGCTCCACGAGTACTACAAAAAGGTATTATTTGGAATACTGTATCTTATATATGAACAAAGTTATAGATCATAAAGTGGCTTTTCTCGCAGGGCCCGGCAGGCCCGGGCCGGGCCTGCTTTTTTTTTGCTCCTTTTGCTCTGTAACTTTGTTCATAGACAAGATACAGTATTCCAAATAATACCGTTTTGTAGACCTCGTGGAGCTCTGTCATATTTAATTGAGTTGGTTCGAAAACATTGATTCTGAAAGAAGTTATGGCAGGGCCCGCGAAGACCCGGCAAAGGCCCGGATTACAAGTATGGTGAGACTGAAAATTTCCTTAAAAACGCAAAAAAAATCAAGTTTCTATAACCATTTTGAAGCAAGTTATGGCATTTTGAAGTTTCTCGTTTCTCTGTGTCTCTTAAAGAGCGCACAGAGAAACGAGAGTTTCTGCGTCTCTCACCAAAATGTTAGAATTGTCATAACTCCTTTCAAAATGACAGTAGAGCCTTGATTTTCGTTGCGTTTTGTAGGAAATTTTTCTGAAAATCGGAATCGGATATTCTAGAGAAATAAGCAAAAAAAAATTTTTCGAGAAAATAAAGGGTATACTTCTTTTAAAATTTTACGAGATTTGAATAAAGTTTTCCTACACAACCCAACAAAAATAAAGTTTCTATGACCATTTTGAAGAGAATTATGGTAATCTGAAGTTTAAGGCAAGAGACGCAGACACTCTCGTTTCTCTGCGTCTATCGAAAAGCGCTGAAAAACTAGAGTGACTACGACTCTAGCCTTAACCTCGAAATCGGCATAACTCGCTTCAAAATGGTCGTAGAAACTTGATTTTTGTTTCATTTTGTAGGAAATTAAATTCACCATTTTTCGAACAAGTCTCTTCAGAATCCCTTTTCTTCGCCGTTATGACACCCAACTTGAGCATATTTCCTATGTAATCGTCTGGTTTTATACACCAAGTGGAGAGGTAATTTGGTCCACATTTCTCGCAGTTGTCTGTAATTGGTTCATGATGTTCACTTCGTTTTTCTGTGTGATTTATTTCGGAATCAAGTGCTATTTAAAAATCAAAAAAGCGTTGAAAACTTCGAAAATGTCCTCGTATTATACGAAATCAATTCAGAACCAATTGTTTCAAGCATTGGTTATACAGGTTGGGCTCTTTTGTTGAATTTAACTTTTTAATGGAAAATTTTAGACTCTTATTCCTTTTCTACTAATGTATGCTCCCGTGGGAATGTTATTTTCCTTCCCGATGCTAAATACAAATGTTGGATTTATCAGTGGCTTTGTGGCAGCTACCATTGCAATCTATCCAGCTGTGGACCCATTGCCAACTATGTTTAATGTGAAAAATTACAGAAAAACCATTTTGTGTAAAATGAGAAAAGTTTTTAGGATTTTGTAAAAGTTAAAAATTTTTCAGGTGGCTGTTTTAGGAAGAAATCGAAAAAAGATAATAAAAATGCTGTGGAGCTTGGATGATCATTTAATCTTTCCATAATTGAAAAACTTGTTTTTTTGTAATTGAAGAAATAAAAATCTGAATTTTTGCAACCCGAAAAAACGCAAAAAAGCGAATATCGTAAAATCTGTAATAGAAGGGCACCAGACAGACAAGTTTGAGCTTAATCATCTCAATTTCTATGCAAGATATCAAAAATGTGTCAACTGATAAAATGTTTGTGATATTATGATAAGCAGTTTATCAGTTGACAACTTTTTGATATCTTTTTCAGGAGCCGAGAAAAATTGGGTCAAAGTTAAAAGTTAGAGGGCCCTTCTATTACAGGTTTTCACGTTAAGTTGACTTTTAATATCCATCAGAATCATTTTTAAGGATAATAAAAAGATTTTTTAAGTCACAATTCAAAAGTGTTCGAAAAACAAAATCTCGAAAAATACAAATAATTGAAATATTCAAAATTTGAAATACCTCAAATTTCTGAAAATTCTAAAAAATGTTAAAGATTGGAAATTTCAACATGTTGAAGAATTCTATATGGATTTTTTTTAATTTTTGGAATTTCTAGCATTTTTACGATTCCCATAGTTCAGAAATTCAAATTCAGAAATTCAAAAAATTTTGATAAAAGTGACCTAATTTGGAAACCAAACTACAAGATCAAGATCTCAAATTCATTTTTTTCTGATTCTCACGTTTTTCCGAATAAAATTTGCTCCAAAAACTCAACTACCTGACATTTAAGAAAAATAATTTTTTCAGGTGCCCAACAGTTTTCATGGTGGTTTGGTTTTCAAATTTTTAAATACCCCCCCCCCCCCCCTTTTCCGCGTTCACTAAAAATTTGCGACCAATTTCTCTGATTGATGATGTTAGAACACAATTCTCTTCACCTCTGAACTTTGATGAATTAGAATTTGATATTTCAATTTTGTCACTTTTCAGCACACACCAATCTCTTAAAATTCAGAATATTTGGACAGGTGGAAAATTACAAAACTGGTAGAATACAACGTGTAAACGCACCTGATACTTGTTAATCTGAAATTTGGTAATCTGAAAATTTTTGGAGGGAGCAAAAAGAAATCATTTCGTCAGGAGCCTGCATTTCTTGTTGATATATAATAGATCAGAATCTGAAAATTAGATTTGATATAATTATTAATTATTTTTTTTGTTACTAAATCAATTTTTTTCGAGCCGGTTGTTGTTACCTTGCATTTCTTAAAGCCGCTTTTATAATATATGAAAAACGTTAAACAAATATTTCTAGATGTTGAAATACTGAGATTTTGAAGTTTTCGAGGTTCTGATATTTCGAGATTCTTATATTCCGAGATTCTGAGATTCTGAGATTCTGAGATTCTGAGATTCTGCAATTTCGATATTCCGAGATTGTAGAATTCTAAAGTTCTGAAATTATGAGACTCTGAAGTTTCGATATTCTGAATTTTAAAAATACAAAGTTTCAAGATTCCTAGGTTGCGAGATTCTGTGTTTTTGAAATTCCTGAATTCGGAGAATCTGCAATTTTGAAGTAATGAGTTTTTGAAATTCTGAAGTTCTGATATTCTGAAATTCTAAACTTTCGAAATTCTGTTATTTCTAGAATGTGACATTTCCAATTATGAAGTCCTGAAATTTTGAACTTCTGAAATTCTGAAATGCTGAAGTTCCAAAATCCAAAAAAATGATTTGTTGTTGAAAAATTTTTTTTTGTTCAATTTTTATTGCATTCTCGAACTGAAAATTTCCACAAATTTTCATTTTTCTCACACTTCCAGCCCATGTTCTCCATTGGTTGCTGGAACATCATTCTCCGAGTCGTCCAATGGGTCAGTGGAACTCTAGGCGTAACTCTCAACACTTTCCTTATCACCCTTATCATTTTCCGATCCCCAAAAGACATCGGTGCCTATAAATACCTAATGATCTACATCTCCGCATTCGAAATTGCCTACTCCATCCTGGACATCATAATCGAGCCCCATGCATTCTCCCACGGACCCATTTTTATTGTCTTCCGCTGTTTCAAGGACTCATTCTTTACCAGGGACCAAGGATTCTATCTAATTGTTGTCTATTGTGGCTCTTTTGGCCTGTCTATTGCTCTATTCGGTGTACACTTTGTTTATCGATATGGTGCCGCTGATTCGGAATTCCGGAAATCTTATTTATCCGGACGCAAATTGATTGTTCTATTCTTGATCCCAGTGGTCTATGGAATCTGGTGGTCAGCTGTCACATTTTTTCTCTATAAATCCAGCCATGAATCCGATTTATTCATCAGGTAGATTTTTTGACAAAAGTGTAGTGTTTCCTAGAGACTTGATATTCGTTGAATTCTGAAGAAAATTTGTTCGGGTTTTCAAGTTTTAGAGAATCCGAAAAATTATTTATAAAAGCAAAAGAAATATCAAATTCCTAGCACAATTTTGAAACGAGTTATAACGATTTGAAAAAATAGGCCGCTCTCGTTTCTCTGCGTCTCACAAGGAGCGCGCAGAGAAACGAGAGTGTCTGCGTCTCTAGCCTACAATTTCAAACTGGCATAACTTTCTTCAGTACTGTCCTAGAGACTTGATTTTTGCCGGATTGTGTAGGGAATTGTTTGGCTTTTTGATTTATAGAAAAATCTTTAAGTTTTTCCTAAACTTACTCGGTAAAATGCAACACTTCAAATTTCTTAAAACTCTTCCCCCACTTTTTTAGTTCCAGTACGTCATTGTTAGATGGATTGGAAACGAAAATCGACGAAATTTCCTACATCATCGTTTGGTTTTATGCTCCAAATCCATTGAATCAAAACAAAATCGAGCCAGTTTGGACGAGTTTCGTTGGTATTGGATGCATGTGGTTCATGATATTCTCTTCGTTCTTTTGTGTCATTTATTTCGGTGTGAAGTGTTATAAGAAAATTATGAGAAAGTTGAAGACGTCGAAAATGTCTTCGTACTATACGAAATCCATTCAGCAGCAGTTGTTTCAAGCGTTGGTGGTTCAGGTGAGGGATTTATAAATAATACCGGCTGAAAAGTTGTCAGTGGACATTAGTCAACTTTGAAGAGCCAAAAAACTTGTGCCAATTTGGAGAAATGTCCGGAATCCGGAATTAGGTATCAGGAATTTATAATCCGAAACTCGGAATCTGAGAGTTTCGATATTCTGAATTTCGGTATTCTTACTTCAGAATTCGGGCACTTCTCTTGATTGACGTAATTTTTTAGAGCTCCAAAGTTGACTATTTCCCACTGAAATTATCAAAATTTGATTTCTTTAGTTCTGAATAAATGTAATTTCTCCAGACCCTCATCCCGGTGTTCCTTATGTACATCCCCGTTGGTGTCCTCTTTTTCTTCCCAATGATAAATTTCGAAGTTGGATCTATCAGTAGTTTTGTGACGGCTACAATTGCAATCTATCCAGCTGTGGACCCATTACCCACTATGTTCATTGTGGAGACATATCGGAAAACGTTGATGTGTGAGTTTTTCGAAATTTTTTTGAGATTGTGTAGCTCAAGTTTTATAACTTTAAAAAGGGAAAGTCAAAAAGAATTTAGGTGGCTGCAAGAACGAGAGGAAGGGCATTGTGGAGGATGGCGCCGAATTGCAGAATTAATTATTTTCGAAACTTTTTAAAATAAATGTTTGATTCCAAAATGTGTTGCACATATTGAATTTCATGCTTGGAAAAGAAATCCTTTAAAGAACGCAACTGAAATCAAGTCTCAAGGACCATTTCGAAACAGGTTATGACAATTTAAAGAGTTAGCCTCGAGACACAGGTACTATCGTTTCACTGCGCGCTTCTTGTGAGACGCAGAGAAACCCGAGTGGTAAGTAATGAATTACTTTCAATTCGTTATAACTGGCTTCAAAATGGTCATAGAAATTTGATTTTTCTTGCATTTTGTAAAAAAATGTTGCAGGTTTTGCAGAAACTCAAATAGCCGAACAAACTTCCTATATAAAAATCTTTGATGCAAACACATCTTTCATTTCATAGTAAACAAACACTTCATTTTATATCCAGACATCATATAGATTTCATATATACTCCCAGAGGTACTATCTCATTCCAGTAAGCTCGAACAAAACCAATTATTACACTCCCAATGGGTCGCCCTCTGTCTGTTCACATTCTCAATCATCTAACATCAACCCAAATAATGATGATACCCCTTGATCAATGGAAAACCTTCCTCAAAGCCACTAAATTGACTACTGGATCGTTTGAGATAATTTTGAACTCTTTTCTGATCCTCCTCATCATTTTTCGATCTCCAAAACACCTTGGAGCTTATAAGTACCTCATGATCTATATCTCATTGGTCGAAATCGTTTATTCCATACTAGAAATGATAACCGAACCACATGCTTTCACACATGGACCCACACTAACAGTATTGCGTTATTTTAAGCATTCAAGAATTGGAAGAAACCAAGGATTCTATCTTATAGTCATGTATGCCGGAACTTTTGGTCAATCTATTGCCCTTTTTGGGGTTCATTTCATCTATCGGTATGGTGCAGTTGATAATGTGTTCCGTACGAAATATCTTGGTGAACGTAAACTATTCATTCTATTTTCATTACCATTGATATATGCTCTATGGTGGTCGAGTGTAGTTTTCTTTCTCTTTCAACCTAGTACTGAATCGGATGAATACTTGAGGTGTGCATCAAGTGTTTTTCTCTTCAGAATTCATTTATTTTCAGAATTCCCCTTCTTCAAAAATACGATACCAAGGTTGACGACATATCATACTTGATAGTTTTCTTCTATAAACCTAATGAAATTGGGTATCTCGAACCGGTATGGTCCGCCTTTTTTGGAATGAGTTGTGCGTGGTTCATGATGTCTACTTCATTCTTTTGTGTGTTTTATTTCGGCATTAAGTGCTACACAAAAATCACGAAGGCACTGAAAAAGTCCAAAATGTCTTCCTACTACGCTAGATCAATTCAAAGTCAGCTGTTTCAAGCGTTGGTAATGCAGGTTGTGTTTTTTCGTCAAATTTGTAAAACTTTTGTTGTGATTTCAGACCCTGATCCCAGTTGTATTAATGTATGTGCCTGCAGGAGTTTCATATTCATTACCAATGTTTAACATTGAAGCAGGACTATCAACTAGTTTTGTGATAGTCACCATTGATTTATCCAGCTGTGGATCCGTTACTCACCATGTTCATTGTGGAGAATTATCGGAAAACTATGTTATGTAAAAAATAAGTTCGAAAATAAGTAAACCATTTTGCATGATTTTTAGGCGGCTGCTGGGATGATGGAAAATCAAAAACTGCACCGCAAAATCGGAGTCAAACTAGTAATTGATATGTTTCTGATTTTTCGAAAGTTTTTTGAAATAAATTATTAATCGAAACCCCTGTTCACTCCTTTTTTAACCTACCCCTAAAAGATAAAAGTGAGGAGTGAAAGAGAATGGAAAGTTCCCGATGAACAGAGGTTGATAGATGAGGTATTCTGGTCAGCATATGTCTCTCCTTTTCGTCTTTTTTCTTTTTGTTCTGTATATGAAAATGGTCGAAACAAAAGGTAAATTTTCAAAGTTTTGAATTTCCGGAAAGATGTATTCACTAAAAATACTTTCCTAATCTTCAATGAGTTAGGATGATAAGGACAGTTCAAGGGTAAATATAGTTGTATGTTAATGTTGTCCATGGGTTGGTAGCCGATCTCATGACCGCGTAGCTCAACCGCATAAAAAATTTCAGCCCCTTATCTTCGTGACCGTCCTCGAGGTCTCGGCCTCCTTCAACTGCCCACTGGAATGTCCGATGAAAGATCCGGACCATTTCTCCCCGGACTTTTTATTGCTGGAAACAAAATTAACGAGAAACCCCAAACTGTTCCAGATGTGCATTTGCCTGGTCAGCCGGCAATTTTTTCTGGGAGGTAAGTATTGATTAAATATTTTCAAGATTCAGAAAAACAAAATTAAAAAGTTTCTCTGTGAAATGTTACAGATTTTGCAAAAACTTCAAAAATTTTTCAGATCTGCCTTCAACCCATTCACCCATATGGTTTCTGCTGTGTACGCTGAAGATTTATCCGATGGTTGGGGCGCTGGAATGGCTGTAAATGTGAGTTGCAAACAATTCCCATCAGAAATCGCTCTTCTTTATCCAGGGAGTCAATTCCTACGGTTTGAATGTGCGCAAAAATTTTGACTCTTACGCCGACGTCCCTTTAAACCTGAACGATGGAATGTATCAACCGTTTATATCAGCGGCAACCGTCGGTGCCGAGTACGATTATTCGAAAATTCGAGAAGTTTCCGGAGCCTTGGACCTTCCTGTACCTGGAATCAATGAGCTATTCGATTTGAATGGGAGGTTTATGACGAAAAATGCGTTGATTGTGAATACAGCAATGGAGTTCCCATTGACACTTTCGGATCCAAATGAGAGAGCACCGTATACTTTCAAAGTGAGCAATTTAAAAAATAAATTTTCAGAAGTTGAAAAATTCAAAATCTGTTTTTTTTTCAGTACGCAGTGTGGGCTCCGGATCGTCACATGGCTTATGGCCATGTCATGCCCAATGTGAACCTATTCGTTGTGGGCAAGGACAAGATTATGGAGAGATTGAAGCAAAATCGACTGAATCCAACAATGATCGGTTGAATTTTTTGTTGTTATTCGATAACCCAAAAAGTTTCTTTCTCAAGATTTTTTTGAGTATACATTCTGACATTGTTAATTGAGATTTTTTGAATTCCCTAGAGTTCAGCTTTTAATTAACGAAAACGTTTTCTTTGTCTAGATTTTATTATTGTTCTCATTATATTCACAGAAATCGGTTATTATACTCTCAAGAGAAAAGTTAATTTTCTGGTTACTTCAATTTTACATCTCTGTTTCCCATTTTTTTCAGAAAATTTTTAAAAATGCTCACTGTTTCCAACTGGAAAACTTTCATTGAATTGATTCAATTTGGCGGTGGAGCCATCGGTGTATTTTTAAATTTTTCTCTAATTCTCCTCACATACTTTCGCTCTCCTCCACATCTTGGTGCTTATAAGTACCTAATGTACTATATCTCGGGGTTCGAAATCCTTTATGCAATCCTGAATGCAATAGTACAGGGTCATCTTTTCTCCCATGGCCCCGCATTTATCTTTTTTCGAAATTTAAAACATTCCTATTTCGGAAGAGCGAAAGGGTTTTATCTTCTAGTTGCCTATTGTGGCTCTTTTGGTTTATCCATCGCTTTGTTCGGTGTACACTTTATATATCGATATGGAGCTGTGGATAATGTGTTTCGAAAAAAGTTTTTGGGTGGGAAGAAATTGCTAATGTTATTTTTGCTGCCTATTTTCTATTGTGTTTGGTGGTGCTTGGTGGTTATCATATGCTATCGATCAAGTTCCAAATCTGATGATTTTATGAGGTTTGTTAGTGTGCTGGAAATCGATTAATTTGAGTTTCACCACAAGATTTCCTCTCTTTTCCCTGTATCTGTGTCTTTAGCTGTAACCTTCAAGCGCCATGTTTTGGAGATTTGTTTTTTGAAAGAAAATTATTTTTGAAAGAAAATGTCTCAGAATTCCTTTTCTTGAAAACTACGACACCAGAGTAGAGGAGATCTCCTACGTCATGATCTGGTTTCATATCGCCAACGACGAAGGAATCCTGGAACCAAGATGGCCCACTTTCATCGGTATTGCTAATCTATGGTTCATGGTGACTTCCTCGTTTGTCTGCGTCATTTTCTTTGGAATCAAGTGTTATAGAAAAATCACAAAGGCGTTGAAGCATTCGAAAATGTCGAGTTACTACGCCAGATCAATTCAGAAGCAGCTGTTTCAAGCATTAGTACTACAGGTTGGGTGGTTTGTAGAAAAATCATGAAAAATTATTTAAAAAATTTAGACACTTGTCCCAGTGGTTCTAATGTACGGTCCTGTTGGAATCTTATACATGTTCCCAATGCTCAATATCGAAGTTGGATTTATCAGTACCTTTGTGACAGCTACTGTTGAAGTGTACCCTGCTGTGGACCCATTACCAACTATGTTCATTGTCGACAATTTCAGAAAAACCATATTGTGTAAGAATAAGAGAAAAATAGAGGATCTTGTAAAATCCGGAGATCAATCTCAAAATAGTTTAAGTAAAAGTTTCAGGTGGCTGCCGGAGCCCAAGCAAGAAGGTGGAAGTTCCAGAATTGCAGAATCGGGACAAAGCTGTTTCTTATTGTTAGCTACCTGTATCTCCGTCATCCCTACAGTAACCAGCTGAAAATTTTTTAATTGGTTTATCTGCCTTTTGTATAACTTTACCGACATAATTTTTATTTCGTAATATTTGGGGAAATAAAAACTTAGTTCCTAGTTTGTGAAGGAGGTGGTACAGGAAATTTTTCATGGTTTTTCGGGGCAAGATTATATATTCTGACATTATTATTTGAGATTTTTTGAATTCCCTAGAGTTCAAGTTTTAATTAACCGAAAAATATTTTTCATTGTCTAGGTTTTATTACGTTTCTCATTATTTTCAAAGAAATCAGTTGATAAACTCTCAAGAAAAATATTCTTTTTCTGGTTACTTCAATTTCCTTTCTTTATTTCATATCCTTGATTCTCTCAAAAAAATATATATAAATGCTCACCGTTTCCAACTGGAAAATCTTCATCGAAACGATTCAATTTGGAGGTGGAACTATCGGTGTAGTCTTGAATTTCACTCTAATTCTCCTCATATATTTTCGCTCTCCTCCCCATCTTGGTGCTTACAAGTACCTAATGTACTACATTTCCGGATTTGAAATCCTTTATGCAATCCTAAATGCTATAGTTCAGGGACATATTTTCTCTCATGGTCCCGCATGTATCTTTTTTCGAAATTTTAAACATTCCTACTTCGGTAGAGCTGAAGGATTTTACCTTCTGGTTGCCTATTGTAACTCTTTTGGTTTATCCATCGCTTTGTTCGGTGTACACTTTATATATCGATATGGAGCTGTGGATAATGTGTTTCGAAAGAAGTTTTTGGGTGGGAAGAAATTACTATTGTTATTTTTGTTGCCAATTTTCTATGGTATTTGGTGGTGTTTAGTGGTAGCTATATGCTATCGATCAAGTTCCAAATCTGATGATTTTATGAGGTTTGTTAGTGTATAGTAGCTAGAACGTTTTGAGTTCGAGTTTGCACTTCGAAGTTATTTTCTAGATATATATCTGCGTCTTCAGCGAAAATCTTCCAAACAAAAATTTTCAACAAAAGCAGCCACTAATGGCGCTTTGAAGCCACTAATGGCGCTTTGAAGTTTCCGGTTAGAGACACAGCAGCTCTCGTTTTTTGCGTCACTACAGGAACGCAGAGAAACGAGAGCATCTGCGTCTCTAGCCAAGAATTTCGAGTTGTCCTTACTTGCTTCAAAGTCGTCCTAGAAATTTGTTTTTTGTTGTGTTTCATAGGAGTTTTTCAGGAGAAAGTGTTTTTCAGAATCCCTCTCCTTGAAAACTACGACACCAGAGTCGAGGATATCTCCTACGTCATTATCTGGTTCTATGTCGCCAATGACGAAGGAATCCTGGGACCAAAATGGACCACTTTCATCGGTGTGGCTAATCTTTGGTTCATGGTGACTTCCTCGCTTGTCTGCGTCATTTTCTTTGGAATCAAGTGTTATAGAAAAATCACAAGGGCGTTGAAGCATTCGAAAATGTCGAGTTACTACGCCAGATCAATTCAGAAGCAGCTGTTTCAAGCATTAGTACTACAGGTTGGGTGGTTTGTGGAAAACTATGTAAGAATATTTCGAAAATTCAGACACTTGTCCCAGTGGTTCTAATGTACGTCCCTTTTGGTGTATTATACGTATTTCCTATGCTCAATATCGAAGTAGGATTTATCAGTACCTTTGTGACAGCTACCATTGAAGTTTATCCAGCGGTGGACCCATTACCGACTATGTTCATTGTGGACAATTTCAGAAAAACTATATTGTGTAAGAATAAAATAGAAGATTCTGAAAAAACCAGAATCCAAAATAGCTAGAATGAGCAGCTCGCGGCTGTTTTCGCCACCATGTAGCTCAGCCGACAGGGACCACCATTAAGTATCCAAAATAGACTACTACATATTTTTTAAGACCCAAGGCTACTAGTGGGGACCCTTTAAACACAACAGAAAAGTTTCAGGTGGCTGCAAGATGCCAAACAAGAAGGAGGAAGTGTCGGAGGCGCAGAATCGGAGGCAAACTGTTTCGTAGACATATATTCGTGTTTTTGTGATTCCCACAGTGCAGAACATTTATATTTTGTTTCTTGTATATTTCTACAGACACAATTTTATTTCGCAATCATTTGTAAAATTAAAAGAGTTTTTAAAGGAAGAGATACAGGAAAGTTTTTGGTTTTTTTTGGGACGCGAGTATGCATTCGGACATTGTTATTTGAGATTTTTAAACTCCCCAGAGCTCAGTTTTTAATTAACTGAAAACAATTTTTTGTCTAGATTTTATTATCGTTCTGACTGTTATCACAGAGAACTGTTATTATACTCCCAAGATACCAGAAAATTTTGTTTCCTGATAACTTCAATTGTATTTCTTCATCTCCCATTCTTAAATCTCTGAAAAGAAAATCGAAAATGCTCACTGATTCCAACTGGAAAACTTTCATTGAATTGATTCAATTTGGCGGTGGAGCCATCGGTTTACTTTTAAATTTTTCTCTGATTCTCCTCATATACTTTCGCTCTCCTCCCCATCTTGGTGCTTACAAGTACCTAATGTACTACATTTCCGGATTTGAGATGCTCTATTCAATCCTAAATGCAATAGTACAGGGACACCTCTTCTCCCATGGTCCTGCATTTATCTTTTTTCGAAATTTAAAACATTCCTATTTCGGAAGAGCGAAAGGGTTTTATCTTCTAGTTGCCTATTGTGGCTCTTTTGGCTTATCCATCGCTTTGTTCGGTGTACACTTTATATATCGATATGGAGCTGTGGATAATGTGTTTCGAAAGTAATATCTGGGTGGAAAGAAATTGCTATTGTTATTTTTGCTGCCCATTTTTTAATGGTGTTTGGTGGTTCATTGTGGTTCTCATTTACTATCGACCAAGTTCAGAAGCTGATGATTTTATGAGGTTTGTTAGTCTAAACTGACGTTTGTTATTGTCTATTCAATGAAACGTGGGCGCCGACCTTTTAGATACTTTTCACGGAATGAGTGATCCGCTGCACCGCATCTATAAATGAAATGAACTGCGAGTAACGCTATAGAAAACGCAAAACTTCCACAATACACAAAAATCAATGGAACACCTTGACTTTTTCCAAAGTGGGAATGTTTAAAATATCGAAACATAATGTTTTTATGAATACAAAAATCATACCGTATAACCTGTATTAGAATGGCTCCCACTTTTTCAAGTTTGAGCTCAAATATCTATGCAAGATTTCTATGCAAGATGAAAAAATTTTGTAAACTGATAAAATGTTTGTGATATTATTGTAATAAAGAATTAATTAGTTGAAAACTTTTACAAATCTTTGACAGGAACCGAGATTAATTTGATCAAAGTTAATAGTTAAGGGACCTTTATTACAGGGGTTACGGTATATGAAAGGAGGGAGATTTCGGAAA